GAAGAGTTGTCGACCCGGTTTTCCGAGGCTAGGATCTTGAACAGCGCCCCGCCGATCTCCCGCTCCCAGGCCATAATGTTGATCTTGGAGACGTCGAACCCCTTTTCGGCCACCACGAACATGAGGACGCGGCACCGGGCGTCAAGCAGGCCGGAGAGGAGCAACGCCGCGACCAGATCCCTGGTCAAAAGCAGACGCTGCTTCCCGCTCGGGAACCGCTGCGAAATAATTTTGTTGTACTCGATGTTATTTTTAGGATTCATACCCTTCTCCACGTGCACACAGTTTCGGTAGACCTCGACGAGCGGCTCGTACGCCGTTTGCTCCAACTGCAGTATTTCCTGCGCGAGGGCCTGGAGAATTAGCAAGTGCTTGCGGATCAAAATCTTCCGGAACTTCGCCAGGCTCTTCACGTTCTCCGCCTGTAGCCAGTGCGCGTTGGAGCTCTGCAGCTCCAATTTCGACGACTGCTGCTTCGAAAGTCGGGCTTTCGGTCGGGTTTTCGCCATGGGTTGCATGGCATTCGTGGTGGTGCTGGCAGAGGAGGTGCTGGACGTGGGCTGTCGCGGGGAGGCTGCTGGGGGACCTGGTTTACAGGTCGCAGAAGCGGATTTCATTCCACCTGCGACATCATTGTTGATGGGCAAATAATCTGCCACGTTCTTGTTGGCGTTGGCAGTGGGTCCTTGGGGTGATTCTTGGGAGGTGGAAAGATCTTGTTTTCGGACGTCCTTTAGCCGGCTTTGATCATCTTGCGCTCGACTCGAGTTCGCTGCTGCAACGCTCGAGGAGCTGGGAATGGACTTGAAGCTACTGCTGCTGTGGTCCTTGTTTTCAGTCGCTTTCATCGCACGGCCAGCGCGACTACTGGTAGTTTCCGTTTCTTCGGAAAGGACAGGATTCTTGTCGATTCCGTTCGCAGAAGTTGCAGGGGCTAATGGCGGCGAGCCGGCGGGAGAGGACGAGGCGGAGGTATTGTCGTTGCTCGGCCCCAGCCACGGACGGGGGTCGAGCCCTTCATCCTCCTCGTCGCTTGACGTGTCATCCTCGTCTTTCCGGCCTGTTCTCCTCTTGTCTTCGTCGCCGACGCTATTTTCACCAGCGCCTGCAGACACTTGTTCTCGTTCTCCTCGAGCCGCATCATCTCGCTCATCTACGTCTTTTCCCGGCGCCGCGGCCTTTACGGTCGTTTTGGGCTTACTTGGTGCCCCCGCTGCGGTGAAGTCCACTTCCGACGCAGGCGTGGGCGTGGTGGCTGCTGTGGACTCGACTTCGGAAGTGAGTAAATCTTCCGCCACTTTCCGGTCCGCTTGTTCCATCGCGATGGGGTTCTTCACCACATTCATAATCTGCAACTGCTCCTTGCTACTCAGCAAATCTTTCTGAACCACCGGGGTGACTGGTGGCGTGGCATTTTTAACAGCACTCGCAGTGGTCGTTATTTCGCCTCCGCCAGGTATTAAACCACCGCCACTAGTACCTGGTCGTCCGCTCGGCGCCTGCTGTTGCTTGATTCTCTGTATCCTCTCCGCCTTCGGTGGCTGCGCGCGAATCGCCTGCGTGTTGCCGTCCCGAATCGAATTCTGCGGGCGGTGGTCTACTTGCGGCGCGCCGCGACCACTGTTGGCCGGCGCGCCCGCGACGTTTACCCCCGCATGGGCGACGAGGTCGTCGCCGGAAGCGGACTTTTTCAGCACGATGAGCTGGTCCAGGTCCGTGCAGAGCTGCTGCGCCGCACACAGCGCGAAGGTCAGGACAATGTCCGACTTCGCGTTCTCTTCCAGGGTGCGCAACCGGTTCATGTCCACCTCTTCGTCCTTTATGATCTCCTCCATTTGCTCCGCGTTCTCTTTTCGCTCCTCCATCTGCCGATATATCGCGTCGATCTCGTCGATCTGTTCCTGCGTGAGCACATGCTCCTGCGACTCGGACTTCCGGTGCTGCAGGTCCTCCAGATTGCTGGGATCCAGACCACCGCCGTCACCGTTTTCGAATGAACCGTTGTGTCCGTTCGTCGCGCTGCTGCTCAAATTTGAAGAGGTGTAATTGCCCGAACTACTCGGTTGTTGATGCGACGAGGAGCTGTAACTCGATTGCGAAGCGATCTGGGGCTTGTTCGAGGAGCTGTGGGGAATACCGAAAGAGTACTGCTGCTGCAGCCGCTGCTGGTCCACCTGGTTATTTCGGTTCTTACTCTGATGTCCGCTACCGACCTTCTGTTCGCCCGGGCGAAGGTTCGCCACGTCGATGCTTTGCTGCTCTCCATCCGCTTCAATGAGCTGCAAGTTGTCACCTCCCGCACTATTCCTATCCGTCGCGGTGCTCCGTCTTGAGCCGCTGGTACTCCTGTCGTTCCCCGTTGTGCTCCGGCCGGAATAATCGGTCGCTTGCTGCCAGCCCGACCGGTTTTGCGACCCCGTCGTTCCTCGCTGGGGCGGCGCGAAATTCGTTTGCGGATTAAAGCCGTACGACGATCTTGATGCGCCGTCTCTTGGTGGTGAAAACCCGCCTGAGCTCTTGTTCATCTTCCCGGCTTGCTGTCTTGTCTGCGCAGCAGAATTAGACGTCGTGCCACTGCTGTGGATGCTGCCCTGCGTCACTTTCACGTCGGTGGAGCTCTCGATGCTCAATCGCACGACGGTGGAGTCGTCGTTCTCCGCCACCACTTCCCAGCTGCAAGTCTGCTGTCCCACCATGCCCTCGCCGACTCCCAGGCCGTCGTTCCCGTCGCAGGGACCAACCAGCAGCGTGAAGGGCGCACCGCCCGCCTGCTGCGCCGCGCGCGCCCACTCGTTGCGCAGGGAAAGTTGAAGCTGGGTGGATTTGCGGTTGTTCCCCGCGCTTGATGTACTAGAAGAGGATGACGAATTTTGTTGATTCAAGATGTCGTACGCTTTCTCCGGGTGCGGGTTGCCAAAGGCAATACACAGCTGCCGCCCGATGTCGCTCGAATAATTGTGAGCCGTCGAGGAGTTTCTGCCGCCCCGAAGCAGGAGGTTCTTACTATTCATAGCAGACGCTGTCATCGCATTCATTCCACCGCCGCTAGCAGACCCTGAGTTCCGGCCATTGGATGTGGAGGAGCTCGAACCGCCACGCGTATAGCTCCCGCCACTCAACAGGCTCACGGTGGAGGACTTCTTCTCCTGCTCCATCTTGCTACGAAGTGCGCTGGCGTTCGAAGCGGTGGACTGAAAGTTGTTCCTGTGGTCGACTACTTCCACCGGATCCATTTCCACGTGCGTGTTCTTCTTGTTCTGCGAACTGGTGGAGGGCGCCGTTGAAGTAGTTCGCCCTAACGCCGCGCTCATCATGGGGTTCTTCTTCAGCATGCGCCTTTCGTCATTCCCGGCACTCAGTCGCTCCCAGAACCGCACGGCACCCCCGAGCGCCTCGTCGTCTTCCACGAGGAAGTGCAGCACCGCCGAGCTGTAGAACCGGTCGACCGTGGTCGCAAACCTTCCCTTGCCCATGAACCACTCTCCGTCCAGGGAGAACTCGCAACCCGTGTGGTTGTCCACGATAATCTTGATCTCCCGCATTTTTTTTCCAGTCTTTCTCTTTCGGTTTTTCCTCCCAGGAAGCCGTCCGTACTCGCACACAACGCGTAGTTTCGATAGCCACTGTAACCAAACGAAAGCGGACAAACAAGGAATGAAATGCCACTTGCTTCTTTGTACAGCGATATTGAGCTACACTTAGTAGAAAGACCCGCCTCAAGGCATCAGACGTTTGTTATTCCGGCGGAAGAGCCCCGGCTCAGTTGTTGTTCCGCACTGTAGTTGGTACCACTTTCCATTTCCAAACACGTTGCGAGGCCGCAACTCTTGTGGTCGCTGCCGCAGCTCCATGATTCGCAATAAAGAACGTCCTCCTCCTTATCTTCACGTGGGGACATTTGTGGGGTCTGGACGCGGGCGGCGGTTAGAAACTGCGACATCATCTTACGCGGGGGTGGGAGTAAACGAAATTTAGAAAAACTAATACTCGGCAATGCGACGTGTAGAGCGAGGAAAATTTTTGTCGTCCGCACGATGAAGATAAAAATAAATGATGTGACTGAAAATGCGTGGAAAAGCAAAATAAACTTTCGTCCTCGAATAGAGTGGCTTTCGTACTACTTTTACCTTACTTCTTAGAGCCTAAACTTGAACAATCCTAAGCTGAAAATGAAAAGGATGAACATGAAAATAACGAAGACAATGAGTGCGATCTCCCACAGAGTATAGGAACGGAGAACGTTGACCATTCTTCATTCTTCGTTCTCCTTGCTTTGGATACAGAAAGTTGCGGACCACCTCCACTAAAGGCCACTTACATCTCTTCCACCAACTCTGCCCCACAGGGGCCGAATTCAATCGGTAGATGCAGAAGACACAGACTTACAGCTGCGGTCATCATAATTCTAATTCATGAGAGAGAATACCTGCTACGCGGTGAAAACTTACTATGGCCTCGGTCACAGAATCATCGCTCGTTTAACAAAGATAACAGTACCAGTAGAAGCAAAAGCCGAACTGTAGAATCACACTATACCAAAAATAGAAACGACAACAAACGTACTGTACGTTCGTGAGTTGTAGTCGGGTCTTGACTACTAGGGGTCCTGCAGACAGTGTTCGAGTTTGAAGTAAATCTTGAGGCAGAGCATGGCGCACGACGACCACGCGCACAGCTACTGTTTGACAAAATAGATTTTTTCCCTCTCTGTGTCCTCAGCAAGAGGAATCGGCATCGGTACTACCAGTACCACCACCACGACCTCCACGTGATACAAAAATAAAACTCTTCTAGCTAGAAGTGCGAGTGCAGTGGTGCAGTGCAGCGCGCCAAGGAACACGAGAGTTATCGAGAGAAAGTCATGGAATGAAGCCCGGCCGAAGCACCGAGTCTAGGCAGAGGGACAGTGATCTACTTTTGTTTCCTCAGAGTGTTCATGTTCATTCCGCTTTTGCATTTGCGCACTAAAAAGGCACCGGCACGAACAATTTCATCGACCTTTTTAATTTTATTCCACATTCGAGGGTTCGTGCGCAATAAAAACCAAAAAGTTCTTCTGCTCTTCAGCGCGGCAAGAACGAGTGTTACTTCTTGGCATACCAAGCAAACGAAAAACTTACTTTACTGATATCGATATGAAATTCATCATACAGAAGAGTTTTGCATGCTCGCTATCATCAAAACCATGAATAATCGCACATGGCAAGCGAACGCATGCCACATGTCGACATAAGGCCCCTCCAATCTTCCAACGAGCTGCCTGCTACTTTGACGCCTTCACTGAGTATCTTACCCAACAACTACCGCGCTAAAAATCAGTCAGTAATTTCCAAGCTAAATGTCGCCCAGGCAAACGCAATGTTTCCGATCGCCAGAGGGGTTAGCGGAGCGTTTCTTCCGAGAAAACAAGACAGCCATCTCTTCCGATAAGAAGCTTGCGGCACTAAATTCAGCAGCGCGAGGCTGTAGACGGATAGGGAAAGTGCTTGTTCCGATAAGAACTTTGTACGACATATTAATATGCCACCGTCGCTCTGTTCTTGGTTGTGCAGACCTCTGCCGGTTCCTGACAAAGAATGAACCGATGTAGCCCGCCGATACTGCACGAGCCCTTGACGAGCTTCTTCTTCTTCGTCGTCGAGACTGAGGACATTATTCTCAATCCCCCGCTGTAAAAAGTCCGCTAGCTCTGCGGGGAACATCAAAGCTCCTGCATTTGGGTCCTCGTCGACAGCAGCAGCAGCAGCAGTGCCGTTGTCTATTCCGTTCCCCATGTCGTTTTCCACCCCCTCAGAAGAACAAAACGATGCTGTGACTTCCGTACTTCTGCTTTCTCGAAAAAATGGTCCCGACGTCGTCCTCTCCCCGTGGTGCTGCCCACTTGCATGATCCTTCTCGGCGCTGCCACACGCCAACCCTAACCCATACAGACTAGTCACCCAGCCCTGGGTGGTGAAGTCTGTCTCGACCCGCCGCGCCGCTGAGAGCCAACTCGCGAAAAAATTTTTCGAAGAGAGCGAACAAGAAGAGGAGCTGCTACCACTTCTGGCAGAGATTAAACCACTGACGTCATCTTTCTCCTTGCCGTCCAGGTCCAGCAGCGTAGTTTCAGGATCTGTAGTACCCTCGATTTCCTCTGCGGCCTCTTGAGCTGCAGTGTCACTCCTTTCTTCCATCGCTACGCAACGAGGAGCCGCACCCTCGCTGCCGACAGAAGTCCGCAGCCGTCCCAGCGAATAGAGGCACACCGATAGCTGCATGGCGTTCAGGGAGTTGATGCTACTCAAAGACGAACGTCGGTGACTGTGCCACAACATCTCGTCATATTGTTGAAGACCGCAGCTTATTGCTACATTTGAAAACTCCTGCTCCCAAAGTCTCGCAAATTCCACGATGCGGTAGTCCCAGAGCTTCGGCCGATGCGTTCGCCCATACGCCTCGCTCAAATTTGCCACACCGTAAATCAGATTCTGCAGCGTTTCTGGCGCGTGAAGAAAAGTTTTATTTGCTGGTGCCCTCACCATTCTGTCTTCATCCTGCTCTTGTAGTCCCGGCATTCTGGCTGCTCCTGAAGTTGTTCTATTCAAACGCTCGCGACTGCTCCGCCGTGCGAGCGTCTGATACGCCGGAAACCAGCAGTACAGGAAGAACTGCAGCCAGCGGTCCTTCAAAAGCCGTTCCCCCGTTGCTTCCTCCCCCTGCCGCTATCAAAATGAAAAATCCCCCCTCCCCATATCAAAGCGAAAATTTGCGATGCCGATTTTTGGCCACAAATCAGCTTTGTATTGCAGAGAGGCGTTGCGGCCAGATCCCCGGGCTTGGTAGGGGCGTATGGGTCTAGTTGTTCAGCATGGCAAACGGCTCCCCGTTCGGCCGAACAGCGTGACAAATCGCTTCCATAATGGGGCGGAAGCTTCTGCCGTTGTCTTCTTGAAGGACAGATGTGATTTGTGACCTCAAATCCGCAACACAAATTTTTGGAAACATACCTTTTCAATATGGGGAGGGGGGGCTTTTCCTCTCAATAGCCGCACGATTTTGTCCAGGGAGTACGCAATCTGCGCCAGGCCTTGGGCGTCGAACGCGGAACAAGGTTCGATATTAGTTCCACGATCCGCTTCACCGGCCCAACTATCTCCACCGTCTGAACTTGGAATCACAGCATCTGTGCAGGCCATTTTCCTCCGTGCAAGCTTCACCCAACACGACTGCAACTGCAACAGCTGCTGGGAATGCAGGTTTTTTGATGTGGTATTCACAAAAGACGGTAATATTGAAGTAGATGTTGGCGCACTCGTCCTCTGGTTCTCATCCACCGGAGTTCGTGTTTTATTACGGTCCAGATCCTTTTTTTTTCCGTCGTAATCATTCTGCCCCACACCAAAAACCCCCAGCCTTTCCCACGCAACAAGAATCAGCATCAGGTCACGGGCGGTGAAAGTACAACTGGTCGTAAGGCACGACGTGCTTGATGGAACAAAGGACGAAGACGAACAGCTTCGTCCATGTCCAGGTCCCCTCGAGGACGCAAGTCCGATCTCTAAAAAGCAACGCTGCCAGAAGGTCCAGAAGTCCGCCTGCAACAGTGGCACGACACCAGGGACGTGCCCGCTTGTATCGACGGAAAAGCGATCGGACGTGGTCGTCACGTGCTGGGAGTACAAGTTGTAGTTCCCGATCTTTTCGTGATTTTCATTCGTCCCCGAACTTCCTTCATCGCTGCCGATTTTCTTATTTCTCATGAAAAAGGAATTCGTCACTGCCGGCAGCAGTTTTCCCAGGTAGTGCAGCGAATCCGCCACGTCCCGGGGGGTCTGCAGCGTGTAAGGGGACGGGGCGGAAGAAGAAGAAGAAGATCCACCACGCGCGGGGGACGAAATAGCAGCAATTTTCTTATCTGTCGCCGCGTCCACGCTTGGTAGAATTCCACCTGTTTGGCTGCAAGTCTTGAACCCATGTCTTGATGCGCCAGGAGGTGATGAAAAATTCGCAGCATTTTTCACACAGTCGCGTTGCCACTGGGTTAACAGCGAGTTTACTTTACCAAGTTTATTGCTTCTATCACGTTGGTATAATAATCCCGCAAGAACTTCTACACCTTGTTCATCTTTTCTCTCCTGCCTGCCGGAGAAAGATGAAGTACAACTCTTACTCATCTTTACCTTTTCCTGTTTCCACCAGACAAAGAGAGACTGTAGATCCCGTACCGCGCTCGTTTTACGCTGGAGCCGGTTCGGATCTGGAGGCGGACGAAGGTAGGCATCGCTCGTTCCGACAGCTGCTGACGCAGCCTGATGTGGTCCTCTACTTCCAGCCGGCTGTACGGCTCGACGCGCAAGAGGCACCAAGAGCGGATTGCTCATCGTTTTTACGGAAAATTTTCTGCTGCTTCCTGTTCCTTCAAGAATTCTCAAGCGTCTTCGTCTGTACTTAACTTTACGACCTGCATGGAGTTGGAGTCTTCTTCTAGTTCTAACCCTAGTAGCTCTCTTTTTATCATATCGATTTGCGAGATTCCTCTTTCCGTGGCTTCACTTCTTGAATCGGACATCCGATACAATCAATTACGCGCATGCGCAAAAAACTCGTGCGTGATGACAGCACATCTCTTTTGCCATAGCAAGTTGGACGGAGGATCCTCGCACAAGTACCAGTGTCGTTCGATTTATCACCAAAGAGGCACACAAAAAAAGTCGGATCCGATCAAGTGCACCTCGGGGACGAGTAACTTTCATTCTGCTATCTGCACAAGCTGTCAACAAGTAGAACCGTGATACTGAAACCGGTCGTATTGGTTTTCGTCGTTGATCCTTCCTGACGAAGAGAACTAATGAACCGCAGGACGGGAATACGAGTGCGAGAAGAGACCTACGCAGGACGGCGATCCGTCGGGACAGAAATGAAAGTATACAAATGAACCGACTGCACCGTCGCATCTGCCTGAACAGTGGTACCGTTCAAAATCGGAGCGCTGCTGTTCGGCAGTTCTACTTGGCAAGCAACAAACATCTGCTCCTCCAGTAGAACTACGACACCGCCTCAAATACCTTCAAGTAAATTCATCTCCTCGTTGCGTGTATTTTTAGGAAGGGATAATTTGATTTCGAAGAGGATGTAAAATGTCGGACTGCTATGGGGGATGATGTTGATGATGGGAATCATGATGAAACAAACTAAACTGTAATAAGTATTGTACGGGTTGTACATACTGTTGTATGGGAATCATGAAAAAAAGCAAAATTTGGGTTCGGGTTGTACAACTGAACTTGCTGAAATTCATCTTGGGGAAAGATGCATTTATCGTTTTCGTCGGGATGGCGAACTTTTTTTGTGACATGGGGTACTTGATTTTTACGTTGGTTGTTCTAAAGAAACGTCTACGGCTGAATGAAAAAAAATGAGTACATGCGTTAGAATTGAAAACGAAATGGAAAGTTGTGTCAGAACTCGAATTAGAAACGAAAGTTGTGTTAAAACTAGAATTTTTAGAAACGAACCGCGAACGGAAAGCTATGTTAGAATTAGAAACGAAACAGAAAAAGTTACGATTAGAATACGAACCGGTGCTTAGAATATATTGGAAACGAAATACAATGTAGTGCAAGCTTCTTAGACAAAACATCATTTGTCAGGCGAGCTTGAAATGCTGCCCTCGTCCTGTCTTTGGTCTCCTGAATGTTAATTGTCTGCGCTGGATTGCATTGAGAGCCAGGCATCTCGAGCGACGCAACACCACCCGTTTTAGCAGTGAAGGGAAGCTCAATTGAGGTCCACCAGGCGCTACCACCCTCACGCCTAGTGTTCAAAAGATGCAGTCCTAAGAGCTGAAGAGCATCTCTAACCCCCGACAAACCAGCCACAGAACCCGTCGCCTCTTGGGCTCCGTGGAAGTCGAACAGGAAAACAAGACCCCAAGCTCGAAAGGCCCAGCGGCTTGCTTCTTGCGAATGCAGTAAAGCGCACCGGAAACGAGAACTCCACCGGAAACGAGTAAAGTGCACCGGAAACGAAATACAAAAAAAATATTCAGAATTTGGAACGGAAAGAATTTAAAAATTAAAAACGACTGCAATACCGACTCACGAAAGAAGCGAGTTTCTCAATTTTTTCGAGCTACTACTATAACTTGGATCTCTTTCTTCCCACTGCTGGTTTCTTCATCCTTGCAGAGGCCCTATTATCCGCTGCAAAAACCTCCCCAGCCCCCAGTCACGCTGCGCCTTCTTCCAGGCAAAGGATCCACGAGCTTCGCAATGATAAACTTGGACACGCAGCGCGGTCGTCCTTAAGTAGCGATAGCTGTTATGACGATGGCAACATCGACGATAAAGATCTTGCTTCTCATACTGATAGATTACGCGCATGACCAAAGGCAAAGACCACTCTAAAAAAGATACACACTTCATGAGAACGACCCGCATGAGTCAACCACTGGTCCTCTTGCTCCACATGCTAAATCATGAGCACCCGGAAGATGGCTCTGGTATGGGGGGGGCTGTTTTTGCTCAGGATATCTAGAGCTCTGTCTGCTGCTCACCCTCGAACTCATCGAGGAGTTGGTCGGCTTTTTCTTTAGCCTCTTCTTGGCCTTTGACTTGCCGCCCGACGAGTTCATCGCAGCGGAAGGCCGCCCGATCTGGGACCCAATTTTCGAGCCGACTTTCGAGCCAACTTTCGAGCCGACTTTTGAGCCGACTTTCGAGCTGGCTCTTGAGCTGACTCTTGAGCTGACTTTAGCGCCAGAGCCAGTTGCTTCGCTGAAAGATGCCGCATATCCAGCGTAAATTAGTACAACCCCTCCAGTATAATTTCCACCGAAATTATTTATCACGTGAAATTTACGCGACTCTTGCAGTGGAGTGCACATGTAAGTAGCGAGCAGGGCAGCTCCCAAAGATTCTTCTGTCACACTGCTTTTTGACTTCGTGGCAGCTGGAGCTGCTTCATGAAATAGCAATTGATTCGTCCTGTGTTTCGGTACAAAATGAAATTCTCAACCGACTAGATGAAATTTGTCTGTGCGAAAGCACGTAGGCAAATTTGATGTTCATGCGCGATGACAATCTTCACAACACTGCAAGCCCTCGTACTTAAATCCTTTTTCAAAACAGATCATCCATCTCGGTGGTGGAGGGGTTTACTGATTTGTGTACGCCGGATATCGAGGGCCGCGGGACCTGACTGCTGCTCCGTGCTTTCTTGGACTTGGCAGACTTGACGCCACTCTTCAAGGCCCGCACTGTCCCGGATACGGATCTTGCGCGCTTCACAACAGACGCAGCTCTCGTTTTCGACCGCCTAGAACTCGGGGTCTGTTCGCTTTCCCCGGGCAAAATGTCAAAATTCAAGGCGGGGATCACCGACGGCCGCTTCGGGGTCTCACCGCCCTTGGAACTGTTCGCCTCGTTGGTTATGCTTTTATTCGCGGAAGAAGATGCGCTCTTCTTTGTTTTTGCCTTCTTTGACGCAGAGGACTTGGTGTCGTCCTTCTCCTTGTCGTCAGGCTTATTCGCCATGATGGAATACGCCTGGTCTAACGCGGACACCCGGCGGGTTGGCGGTGGCGGGGCAGCGGCTTCCTCCTGCTGGCTACTCCTCATGTCCCCTTGTGTCGACGTCGCGTCGGCTCCGCCCGTCGCCGTGGCGTCGCCGCTCCCTAAGTCGGCGAGGGTCTTGTCGGCGAATGAGCCCGTTCCTGCGTGACCGAGGATCTTGTCGCCCCGCGTACCAGCGTCTTTGTTCCCCTGGCTCCCCAACTTATTATGTGACTCGCCATGCTTGTCCTTTTTGTCCTTTTTTGAGGATTTGTTCGGGTCTTTCTGTCTAATATCTCCTGGTTTCGCAGTTGTGGCCTCCGGAGCTTCGCTCTGCAGGTCCGAAACAGGAGCGCCGGCCGAGAAGGACGAGCCCCGCCCCTGCACGCTGTCTCCCCCCTGCTCTGTGATAGCGGAAGCAAAGGATCCAATCACCCCCGCGCTGCCCTATCCTGACGAAAAATATCCCCACCCACCGCGTAGTCACGTTTAGCTAGTTTCGCCGCATCACAACAAATCGATCAACTTATAATCATCACAAAATCAAAAACATCATCGGAACTTGCTTCTCATGAAGCTGCTCCTGCGCATGAGAAACATTTTCGGTATCATGGGTATGCAGGTAATTTGCATAGACACATTACATGCGGTCGTGGGGACGTTTTTACCCAAGATATGCCCTCCTGGTTCGTCTTTGCAGCAACCTCATCGTCGGAAGAAGCGGACGATTTTTTCTTTTTCATCTTCTTGCTCGTGGTTTTACTGGCGTCGGCTCCATCTCCACCTGGGCTATCCGAGCCCCGATCGTCGTCGTCGTCGTCTTTGTCTTTGCGCTTGCCCGAATTATCCTGCTTGTCTGTTATCACATAGAAAACTCAAAGTACACCGCCCACAAAAGTAAGTGCCATAGCCGACGAGAATATATGCTTTGCAGCTCATGATGAACCTCCAGACTATAACATTTTTCGCGACTTCTACTGATCCATCTCCGCAATATCGAGTACTTACAACGCAAGAGGTATCTATTGAAAATGCAGTACTACGTACTCATCTGCTTCTGAAGACGTCGAGAGCAGCAGGACTGCAACTGCGACTACACCAAAACAGCTGCTCACGTCGCCCAAAGCCTGTTGATAAAAATTACAAGGACCCCAGCGACAGGATGCTGGTGGTACAACGATCTTCATGCATGGGTGATGTACTTTATTTCCATTCCATACCGGCCGAGCCGGGTAGCTTCAGCTTCTTGTCCCTACCACTGCGCCTTGTCTGGCTGGACGCACTGGTGGCTTTCTTCTTATCGTCGTCCTCCTCACCACCGGGTAGCATATGATGAGAAAAAACGTCCCTCCCACCAACGAACCCCGTCTTTCTGTTCGGAAATCAAATTGTATGCCTCTGTAAAGCTAGAAGAACGCTTGGCCTGACGCGCAGCTGGCATGTGAAGAATCTCGTTCGGGCGGACAAAGAAATCTGAATATTACACGAATCAGAACGAGGAATGAGGCTTTACTTAGCTGGGAGTCACTACACCAGATCCAGAACAATGAGCATGCATTTCTCGTCGAGTGTATTTTTCACTGTCTTCTGCACGATTACATCAAAAGGAGCTCAACATCTTCTGTCGTGGACTTGGGACCACGTCGGGAGTGTAAGTGAATAGGTACGTTTTTCCCCAGGATATGACCAGAATAAGAACTATCAAATGTAAAAATGTCTGGGTCTGGAAGGGTTGGAACTTGTGATGCAAACTCTGGAACACACAAAAAAATTGTGTTGCATGAGCGCCAAAAGCTGTCTATTTCTTGGCACGCAAGTAGGAAGTTTCTCATGCGGGACAGGCATCATGAGGCGTGCGTAAGACCTGTGATGCTTTTGCCTGCATCAGACGCCATTTGCGTGAGCGTGATCCGAAATATGCATGACAAATCTCGCAATCTTCCAGACCCAGACACTTTTACATTTGATAAGAACACGACAGCGCCGATCATCACTACCACGCCGAGCACCACGACGAAAAAGATGACAATCATGCAGCAATTGCTGCTGCTCCCTTCATCTTCTCCCTCCTCCTCCTCCCCTGTACTCGGTTCCCGCCCTGTCTCGGCGTCCTCGTCCGGTGCGGACTCCTATCCAGGTAGAAAGCGCCCCTTTTCTATAGTAACCCAGAATTATCATAGAAATGTTTTAGTAACCCAGAACTATCAAGAAATTTTTTTGCGATTTGCAGAAACGATGTTCTTCCTTGCATGTAGTGTAGCAGCTTTTCCCGCGGCCAGAATAGCGGCAATCTGTGTGGTTGTGTAGGCGGCACGAGCACGGAGCACGGAGCACCAGCACTGGCGGGAGCTGCGCTTTTCATTATTTATGAAGATCGCGCCCGGAGGGCGATATTGGTAACCAAATGCGTGCGCGAAAATCTAACCAGCGCGAAAGCCAAACCAGCCGCGCGGCTGCCACCACCATTTTTTTTAATTAGAATCCCACTTCTTCTTCTTCCTTGGGTCGCGGGCCGCAGTTGTGCTCGCGGCCCTTGGGCCGCGGGGAAGTGGTGGAGCCCGCGGCGGCCCGCAGGCTCCTGCGATAAGCTTTGAAGGCGAAATCCGGTCTGCTATTTCGCAGCGGGGCATCCTTTCTAGCCCCCTCCATGACAAACTGGCCTCCTGGCCAAGAAGGTATGTGGCCGGGGGGGGGCAAGCCCCCCCCGGACGCCCCCCATCCACCTTCGCCGCGGGGCATCCTTTCTAGCCCCCTGCATGACAAACTGGCCTCCTGGCCAAGAAGGTATGTGGCCATCCACCTTCGCAGCGGGGCATCCTTTCTAGCCCCCTGCATGACAAACTCGCCTCCTGGCCAAGAAGGTATGCGGAAAGCCGAATCCCCGCGGACCCTTCCGGGCCACCAAAATCGGCCATTTCAGACGCGGCGGAGGTGCAGGATTTGTGCCCACAAACCAGGGCAAATGGGGATTTTGTGACATCCCTCCGCCCGCTTCTAGTGCGTTTTTTTTTTCACAATCCCGACGGTATGGCGCGACCACGCGCCCGCCGGACCGCCCTTGGCGGCCAGTTTGTAAGCCTGCCGAGGGTTCTCGATTTTTTTTCGTTTTCGCTTTTTTTTCTGGTTTTTAGTCGGCCGAAGGGCTCTGCACATTTTCACCGCCCCCACCTGCCTGGCAGTTTTGAAGCCTGCGGAGGGATTTCGCTTTTGCGCAATTTTTCATCTTTTTTCATTTTCCAAGTGGCCCGGGGGATCTGCACAAAATCCGACGATTGCTTCCGCCCACGGTATGAAGCAAATTTTTGCCATTTTTTTCCAACTTTTTCCAGTTACGAAGCGGCCCAAGGCTTCCGAACAGGTCGCGGGCCTGCTTCTCCAACGCAGCTGCCCAGCGGGCGGAGCAAAAAACAGTCCGTCTCCTTTTCAGATATCAAGTGGGCCAAACCGCAAAAATGCTCTTTTTTCACCTTCTCCCGCTTGGTTTCTGCCTTTTTTACGACATTTTTGCCCTCCTGGCCATTTCCCCATCTGGTCCGCTTTTTTTCCCTTCTCCCGCTTCATTTCTGGTCATTTCCCTGACCTTCACGCCTCCCGGCGGTTGCCCTATATGGTAACGGCAACTGCCTTCGCGCTGCGTTTGCTAAGCAATATCGCAAGCGCACAGAGCGCGCGCGCCGGCTTCGTGGGCCGGCGCGCGCTCTGCGCGCGCGCGCACGCATTTGGTTACCAGATCATGCGATGTCAGTCATGTTGGAGCTCCTGCAAAACTACCTTCAATATCGTGTGAAAAAACAGAACGAGTCGCTTTTTTTTCCATGCAAAAGTTCCCATGTTCAGCTGGAAGTGGAACCTCTATCTCCACGTTTGCGATCAATACAACATCAAACTCTACTTCTCGTTAATAAAATTTCTGGGACATCAAAGGGGCAGCTCCTGCTCTTTTCGTTTTGGTAACCCATCTTGGTTCCCACCTTCCTCAGGTCCCGTACTGGCGGCGACGCAACCCGTCATCTGCAGTTCATCACCATCGTGGAGACAGGAAAACCTGGGAGTACCGGAAAATCCGGTTTTGCATGCGAGGGTGACTCCGTTCTGCGCCGGCACCGTCTCGCCAAGAACGCCAGTAGGCCGGAAGCGCTCCTCCTGGAGTACCGAAGCCCAGTCCACGGCGCTCACCTGTGACGCGTTTACCCGCGCGCGCCACGCCGCCTCTGCCGCGGGAGTCGCGCAGGGCTCGATCAGCGGCCCGTGTGACGATTCTATCCTGTGTAAAAACGTTCCCAAGCCAAAGTTGTCATGCTAAACAAAGATGTCATGCAGATCAGCATCTTCTACATGCAGGAACAAGAATATTGTGGTTGTGCGAGTGCGGGAATCCCCAATAATCAAAGAGGCGCTGTCGCTTGTTTTTCGGTCGAAACTTGTCATGCGTGACTCCCAGCAAAACTTCGGGATTTGTGTTATGCACGACAGTAGTAGTTCCCAACCTGACTATGGGGTCGTTTTTACATGCGATATAATCTTCCTCCTCCGGAGATGCTTCCTGGTCGCAGCCCGCCATCTGGACCGCTCCCTCTTCCATCTCGCACCAAAAGGTCGGCGGGGGGACCAAGCCCTCCTTGCACACCAGGGGGTCCCCGTTTTGGTCGGTCACATTTGCCATCTGGGCCGCTCCCGGCACGAGGACCGTCCAGTCCACGTTTTGCAGCGAATTTCCAAGACGAGCTTCCAATAGGGCCTGCTCTTGCCAAGTCGGATTGCAGGGTTTCCATGCGGGTCCGTCGCAACCCGCAAATGCCACGGGGCCTCCGGCGGCCGGGCAGTCAAACACCGGTGGCGGCCCCAGCTCGGCTTTGCAGGCCAGATCGCCCACGCTTTTGTTCTCTTCCCCGGCAAGGATTGCGGCGGCCCAGTCGATTCCAGTGACGTCGTCGAGGCCGTTCAGGAGTTTCGTTCCCATGTCTTCCAGGATTGGGCCCAGGGGAGCGGTGCAAGGCGCCGCCGGATCGCACCCATAAACCGTCAGTGTACGTCGACCTTCATCTGCAGTTGGGCAGTAAAACGTCGGCGTCCCGTGATACCCCGGCAGGCAATTTTGACCTGGGAAAGATCCGGCGGTAGCGCCAGCAGTGAAATTCCCCAAAACCTGGTCCCACGGAACATCGACCCATGGATACCCGTGGGCCTCGGTAGTACTTTGGTCTGGCGCAAGGCAGCGGTCACTTGCAGCGTCACACCCGGACAACTCCACCGGAACGTCGCCGGAAGCTGGACAAGAAAATGTTGGTGTGCCAGTTGCGTCGGCGGCTTGGCAGGAAACGGTGGCGACCACTACACCGGTTGTTCCGGGAGGGACGGAGAAACCCCAGTCGAGGACTTGTTGTCCGTCTATGGTCAGCTTGTCGAAGTCGCTCTGCCCTGGTTCACGGCAGCGGACCGCGCACCCGTGCATCTGCAGCTCCGCTTCCGCATCCCCGCACAAAAACGTGGGCTTCGCGGGATCGCGATCGGCTAAAAATATCATAAGCAAAAATGTCCCGCCGACCCCATTTGGCTACACAAATCAACAAGCTTTGGCTGCTCTTCCACATGACGAATTTTGGCTCATGAGAAATCGCTCAGCTACAGCTTATCCCGATTCTAGCATGACAAGCCATCAGATAGGATTTAGAAAACGCCTGCGCCTCTGAACACGTGATCGCTGCGCATGAGAAACGTTTCTTTTCAAGCTTGCAGATTTGCCTGACAAGTCTGGGGTACTAGGCACGCTTTTACACAGGATACCGCAAGAAACCCCGTCAATCTCCGACGCGGACGTTTGTCCAGGAGCGAAAGTTTCGTTGACCAAGACCGCTGTCCAGTTGAAATCATCGCCGACGCTCAGCTTTTGTCGTTCGGTGTCGTTTGGCTTGACGCAAGGGCCGGCAGACGATTCCACAACTTCGCACCCGGAGGTCATCTGCACCTGGCCACCCGAGGGTGGGCACGAAAACTTCGGTGACCCCCTGGCTGACGGATCGCTGCAAACGAGAGGCTGTGAAGAAGACCCGTCTGAACCCACCACGCTAATTTCCTTCTCTTGTTCTCCCGGGCTGATGACGGAATCCCAATCCGTGACAAGATCGAAATTTGTCACATTGTCCTTCAGGTGATCTATATCCGTGGGAGTAATCCAACACTTTTTACAACCCGTCATTTCCACCGTGTCGCCCGCGCTTGGGCAACTGAAGAGTGGCTTTGTTGTCTCGTCGTGTTTGCAGGTAATTCTGCCTCCGGACAGTTCCACGGGGGTATTCGTATTACCCGGCAGCAGCTCTGCCCTCATCAGTTCATTGCTCCAGTCTGTATTCGCCTCTTGCAAACCGTCCGTGATGTGGTACATGAGAGCATTGTCCAGTGGCGCGACGCAGCCTTGGACCTCCTCGCAGCAGGAAACTGTGCAGGCCTCCTCGACTTTGTTGACGGTTGAGGCGTCGCCTAGAGAGCTGAGACTATCGTCGCACTGCGTCGCGTCGGTCACGCTATCCTTCTGCTTCCAATATGTGCCACTGGTTTCATTTCGCGACGGGCAATCGAAGCCTTGGCAGACCGGATAGCAACCTGTCTGGCCGTTGTCAGGCCACCGTTCACGAAGATCGTACACGTAGCCGCTACCACCGGACTGGTCGCAGCTTGCGCACTGTTGCTCCATAGCGTCATCGCACTCTCGCGTCTCATTCCGGTAGCCGTTGGCACACCCGCAGGCACGTAGCGGCGTGCACCCGCTCATCACCACTGGTCCACCGTTGACGGGGCACATAAATTCCGCAGCTCCCTGAGCCGAAGCATCTGCGCAGACCAGCGACGGCCCTCCTGCTGTTGCTGACACGTTTCTGTACACGCCGTCCGGTTGGAGCACCAAATCCCAATCGGTGACAAGTTCGAAATTTGTCACATTGCCCTTCAGGTAATCTATATCCGTGGTAGCAATCCAACATTTTTTACAACCCGTCATTTCCACCGTGTCGCCCGCGGCTGGGCAACTGAAGAGTGGCTTTGTTGTCTCGTCGTGTTTGCAGGTAATGCTGCCTCCGGACAGTTCCACGGGGGTATTCGTATTACCCGGCAGCAGCTCTGCCCTCATCAGTTCATCGTTCCAGTTTATATTCGCAACTTGCAAACCGTCCGTGATGTGGTACATGAGAGCATTGTCCGGCGGCGCGACGCAGCCTTGGACCTCCTCGCAGCAGGAAACTGTGCAGGCCTCCTCGACTTTGTTTTCGTCCGAGGCGTCGTCTACCGAGCTGAGACTATCGTCGCATTGTGTCGCGTCGGTCACGCTATCCTTCCGCTTCCAATATGTGCCACTGGTTTCATTTCGCGACGGGCAATCGAAGCCCTGGCAGACCGGATAGCAACCTGTCTGGCTGTTCGCAGGCCAGCGTTCACGGACGTCGTATGCAATACTGCGTCCAGAGTGATCGACTGTGGTGCAGCTTTCGCACATCTCCTGTGGGGAGTCGCAGAAAGCGGTAGCGTTGACATTACCGTTGCTACACTGGCACTGCGAGCAAAACACCTGCAACTGTTGTCCTTTGGCAGGGCAGTAAAACTGCGGCGTCCCGGTAGAAATCCCGTTGACGTTGCATTTGATCTGCGGGTCAACACCTTCTACAGTACCCGGCAACTCCCCTCGAACCCGATCTACATGGAAATATTCAAGCACCGCGGTCCAGTTAGCAGGAGCACTCAATTCGACCGGCAGTTGTGCAGCCACAGGCGCACTGCAGATTCCGTGGCAACCTTCCACCTGAACCTCCTCGCCCGCTACCGCGCAGAAGAATTTCGGCGTTCCTACATATCCATCGGCACATGTAGCTCCCGCAATTTCCAGCGGATCCTGCTGCTCTGGTTGAAGGTCAGAGTGACTGCTCCAGTCGATACCTCCCTGAAGCACAAATTGGTCCTGGGCCGGAGCCGTGCAGCCCTGTTTTTCATCGCAACATGCTCTCGCACACTTGTTTTTCACGTCGAGTTCCTTAAGTGGATAATCTGTTTCAAGCGTCTGGAACGCAATACCCGATTCACAAAACGTGTCAGCACGGACCCCACCTTCTGGCGTGACCCAGTATTTGCCCGCAGATGCTCTTTCGTCGTGCGGCAAAGATTCACACTGCATCTCAGCAGCTCCACACACCGGGTAGCACCCCTTTTGATGGCCCGGTGGTCGTGGCCAAGAGTCGTTGACTTGAAACCCCTCGGCACAACTCCCGCAGTGTTGCGCGTTCTGAAACGGACAAGCATTCACAACATCTACAACTCCGTTTTCACAGTCGCACACCGGTGAATCCCCTCCGTCCGCGGAACACCCCATCACCGACAACGGCACATTCGCACCGCTGCAATAAATTATCAGATCTCCCTGAGGCTCAAAACCCTCTGCGCAGGTGATATTTTGGTCAAACCGAGTCGTAGAACTATCGACGCCCACGTGATAGTGCTCAATCAACTCGTCCCATGTGACGCTGCCGAGGTTCACTGTGTTTTGTTTGTCTGGCACAGGCTCAGAGCACTTGGCGACGTCACAGCCTGACATCTCCACCGCGCGTTCGCCATCGCCACCTGCCGGGCATGTAAATTTTGCCGTTCCTATGTAAACTGGACTTTGGCAGGACACGCCACCGACCGCAAGTGGTCCCGTTCCGTTAGTCAGACCCGCGTCTGAGAGCGCATCTTTCCACGAATCGAAAGCGCTGTCGAACTCCAATTTGCCTAGGTCCTCGTCCGTTGGCTTTCTGCAGAGCTCTTCGCAACCTTTCATTTCGACGTGCAGTCCCTCGCCGGGGCAGGACAATTCCGGCGTTCCCACGAACCATGCGTCCTCGTTACAAGTCACGGTATCAAAATCCGGGCTCCACCAACCTCCAGCAGATGGTGCGAGATTGTCATTTTTAGTCCAAAAGTCGATATCGTGGGAAGGAGGCAGAGAGAATTTCTGAAGTTCCGCTTCATCGGTTGGAGCGATGCAGCCCTGCTTTTCCTCGCAGCAGGCGCTCGCGCAGAGTGCTTTGGCGCCATCGTTCTCGAACGGGTTCGTTTTTAGTGTATCCAAACCGATTCCATCATTACAAAATGTCGAGGCTGTTGCGGTATCGTTTGCGACCCAGTATTTGCCTGCGGAAGCGTCATCATGCGGCAAACCTTGACACGCAGAGTTAAGATCTGCGCCAAGTGCTCCGCACACCGGATAGCATCCCTTCTGGCCGATGGTCGGCCACTTGTCTCTCAATTCAAACCCGCTATGACACGTTTCGCACTTCTCCAGAGCGGACTCGCAGAAAAGCGAGTCATCGACCACGACGTTGCCGTTACTACACTGGCATTGATTCGCGCTTTCCGCACAAATCACCTGCAGCTCCTGTCCCGAACTGCCGCACACGAACTCAGCCGTCCCAGTATATTGTGGTCCTTGGCACGCGATGGCACTACCACCCTCCGGGGAAAACTGGCCTTGTGTTTGACCAACATGGAAATGCGCAAGGATGGTATCCCAGTCGTAGTCACCGGAATCGAGCTTGGCCTTGTCATCTGAGCCCGGCGCTAAACATCCGTCGAAAACGTCACAGCATGTTGCCGTGCATGCGGCTGTGACTTTGCTGGGGTCTAAGGCATCGGCTACCGAGGCGATCGAACCACCTTCGCATGGCGTCTCGTCGATCACGTTATTCTTTCTCAGCCAGAAAGCTCCAGTGCCCTCATTTCGCGCAGGGCAAACGTAGTCTTCGCAAACCGGGTAGCACCCTGTTTCATCGGGGCTCGGCCAGCCTGACCTCTCTGTGAACCCGTTGCGGCACGAGTCGGGACCGCAGTTTTGCCCGCCTTCCACCTTACAGTCAACGCGCGCCGAAGAAGCTTTGCTGTTTTCGCAGCTGCACTGCAATATGGGGGCAGTACAGGTGCCATCCAGTGTCACTGCTGTCCCAGCGGTCTCGCATTTGAAACTCGGATTTTGTTCGTTGTGTTTGCAAGCCGGTGCTGCGACGCCGACACCAGATATTAAGTCGTCGTCCTCTATGCTCATCCAAGCACCCCCGCTTGCACTGGGCTCGAACTTCGCCATCGCCAGCACTTTGTTCCAGTCTACGTTGTGGAGGTTCTCGACCCATGGGTGCGAGAGAGGCGTGGGTGCGATACAGCCTTGAACTTCTTCACAACAGGTAACTTTGCAGGCATCTGCCACTGCAGGACCTGCGCTGTTCGACGCCTGATCTTTCGTGAGGTTCACGCAAAAAGCATCGTTTGATGCATCATTTCGTTTCCAGTACTGTCCAGTGGCCGCATCCCCCGCCGGACACTCACGGTTTCCGCACACTGGGTAGCACCCTTGCTCCCCGGAGAACGGCCAGTTGGGGCGCAGTGCGTAGTTATCGGTCGTGCATGCTGTGCAGTACTGCATCGGCGAACTGCAGAACCACTGGTCCTGAGATTGATGGTCCCCGTTGTCACACTGGCATTTGCTCACGTACGCCGACGTTTTCACGGCGCAGACCGTGTTGGCTCTATTGGTATTACTCTTATTGGGTCGAGTGTACGTGATTCCCCCTCGAGAGGTGTCGAACCGCCTACACCATCTCTCACTGCCCTTGGCCTGAATCTCGAATGCGATGCATGTATCATCAGCATCACAGTCACTCCTGCATGTCTCTAGATTTGCCTCCACTTCCGAAAATGGAGTTGCCCGCTCACCGTCCGCACCGGCGGACTCCACTGTCCCTATGGCGCAAAAGCTGCTCCAGTGCTCCTGATACGCTACGTCATTCTTGTACTCCTCGGTGTACGTGGCCTCGACTTTCAGTGCGCAAACATTTTGCACGCCGCTGGTGCCCTTGTATCGCCTTCTCTCAGAAGACGGAGCACTGGCACCACTCCTGCGCCTCATCAACATCATATTTGTACCGACGACGCGCGTCCCCGAATTTGAGGGCAGCAAAACACACCTAGGAGCGTCCGCACTCCACGGTATTCCATCCGCCGCTGTCTCGTACGCAACACATTCAGAATCGGCCGTGCATTCCTCCTCGCATCTCTCGTCAATGTCTGAAACGTCTCCTTCAACGGTCACGCTCCACGCATCTCTGTCCTCACCCCTGAAAGTTCCGGCGGGAACGCGACGTCTCCCCCCACTTTCAGCAGGGATATCCGCTACCGCAGCCGAGTCACTTGGATTCGTCGTTCGGCAATCTACACCGAAGTGCTTCTCGAATGTCACCTTGGGAAAGAAACTGCTACTACGCTCGCCCAGCTATCATGCGGAAAAAATTGCCAACCCCTACCGAAGCAGTTCTTTCTTCTCCTTATTCTACTTCTGCATGATCTCTATACAAAACTGGCCAATTAGGAATCATCCGCAGACTAGGGGGCAAGGACAAGCTTGCTCCTCCTGCTCCTCCTGCATGTTATTCGTATTGTAGGCGAGCACCTAACTTCTATGCTCACCCCAGTGCGGAGATCTCGTAAGTATTAATATTATGCTCAGGAGCGAGATAGCACGACATTGATCTCTTGTGACTACATTCATATATTTTTAAGCACATTGAGTATGGGGGGGGGGAGTTTTTCCTCACAATACCAGTTCCAGAAAGTTCTTGGGTCGCAAGGATCGCCTTTGAAACACTTGCCGCGAATGTGCATCTCGTTGCCGCGAAGCAGAGGACCTTGCGAGACGGTCTTTCTTCGTCTGCTCTTTGGTGCGTTTCCGTCCTTCTTCTTGCTGCAGTATCTCGGCCGCGGGGAAATAATTTTCCTCTACTTCCTCGGTAAAAGCAGCTTTCATTTTCCTCATGGCCCCGACATCAAGCGTAGTCTTTGTCTTCTGCTTCAGCAACGGACGCGACGGCAAAAACTCTCCGGCTGCTTCTGGAATTCTTCCGTATCCATTCTCTCGTCCCGCAGTTGTTTCTACTGCTTCCTCGTGTTGATGTAGATGCGCCCAGCTGCTTCTAGATGAATCTTCGGTGACATAATCGACGACGCTGCTCTGTTTATCATTTTCATCTGCGCCGGCGATGAAGCTGCTCTCGCTCGCCTCGGCGGAACTCGAATCCCAGGTTCCCGGATAGGCGGAAAGGTCGTGGAGTTGATCAACATCATCGCTATCACTATCACGGTCACCATCTACAACCTCGTGGTCTAGCACGGAGCTGCTACTGGGTTCATCTTCCTGCTCCTCCTCTTCGGAATTGGATTTGTCTTCCGAATGTTCTACGGCAACCTCCGACGACTGCTCCGCATGGAGCAGGTCAGTCCCATGATCTAGATCAGAACCCTTGTCGACCCTCTGTGAGGTGGCACTCCGTGAAGCCCGCTTGATGTGCAACGGCAACGGGGTAGACACTCGCTTGCTCGCTTTGTAATTCGCCACGCCGACCCGCAAGGCAAGGAAAGATTCAATTTCCAGGAAGAAGAAAGTAGAACAGAGGAGGGGGCAAATACTAGAAACTAGCCCGCGGCACGACCGGACCTTCATTTTTCTTTTGTGTTGCGACTGGTATCTATCGTGAAGGGTTTTCGGAAATAAATCCTCCTTTATTCCTGCGCCATTGCGCACCCGTGACTGCAGTGTGCAGAGTAGCCAGTGCTACACCACGTTAACGCAAGGGGGAGAGTCTGAAAAAGAATATCGTGGCGGAAAAGGAAAACTCGATAAAGCCCAAAAGAATAAAGGCCGGGCACTTATTGCTAGGGGGGACGATGGGAGAGGATCAATTGGGAGGTGCGTCTTCATATCACAGCTCAGCAGCATTGCATCCATATGCTTCTCTGCCTGGATAGTAAATTGACTTTGGCGTTTTATTGTTCGTTGCTCAACTGTACGCACAATCGATCTGTACCACGATCGAAGACAGTTGTGCAATAGCATGCAAGGCACAAGAACGACCGGCACGATAGACATATCTGCACTAATTTTTTGAGGGACGAAAAGAGACGCGTACTTCTTTGTACGATGACGAAGAAGATCTTTCTAACGCTAACCAGAGCAGGCGGATCGTTTGGAGGTTTTCCAGGTCATTTACGAAGCAAAAGCACGATGAGCCAGCGGATAGGAAATTTGCAGTGTGCACGAGTTGCAAATTCCCTAACATCTTCTGCGAAGCTCTTCTATTAAAAGCAGACACTAGTAGGTGGATGATGTCGCGCAACGAAGTAGTCGTATCGTCGTCTCGAGATCATCAAGTAAGGCACAACCATAATGCCGAGGGTGCTTCACAGATAAAAATAAAACTGGTGCCTTTGATATTTTGTTCGGCGGAATTATGTGTGGTCCTCGCAAAACGATTGTTCCGATTGGATGATCATGCTATCCAAACACAAAGCGAAAACATAGGAACGAATGTAGCGCTGAAAAAAAAAATCATGTAGTATACGAAAAAGAAATGAAAAAAATAATAGTGTTGCCATTACAGCGATGTAAAAAAAATCGAGAGAAGAAAAACTTCGTATCTATGACGGCTCCAATCCTCGCACCTTCACGCCGTTTCATCGGTGAATGAAAAATTTATCCTCGAGGGGAGCCGGACCAGTGAAGCGGGCTGCTGCTGCTCGTCTACCACTTGCACGGAACTCGGGAGACCCAGCTGTTGGCTCTTCCGTACATTCTCTTGGTGCTGCTCCCTCTATCCCACGAAAAAAGTGTTACAGTTACACATTTGTAGTGAATTCAGCAACACAAATTTCTCTGCATGAGAGAGAAAACTTGTAATGCAGAAATCCTACGGGAAAACACCTATCAAACGAGGCCTCTATGCATATCCGGCATGACAGAGCTTGTCTGTCTTGCTTGGCCTGCAACGCAATGTGTAACTGTAACACTTTTTTCTTGCGATACCCTCGCGGCCTGCAGCAGTAACGAAGGTGGACCACGTATCCTGAGCAAAAATGTACCCACCCCAGAGTTGTCATGCAGATTTGCAGCTACAGGAAGACTTGTAATGCGCATCCACATGAGAGGCATTTCCAATCGCGTTTTGCGCTTTGTAATGCTGTCGACAGGATGAGTAGCTGGATTTGTGTTGCGGCTGTGCTTGCTAAACTGCACTACAATACAGAGACGAACTTGTCATGCGTGACTCACAAAACTCCTAGGTTTGTGTTGCAAAATCCCCAGCTTGACTCTGGTGTGGGTACGTTTTTACTCAGGATACCACGTATCACCGAAGACATGCTATTCTCGGAAGCCGGAACTTGTTGTTGCACTTGGTCGGCCGCTTCGTCTGCCGGATAGAGGATTTCACTTCCCATCCGCAATTTCTTGCTTGTCCTCTGTCCGCTTTCGCCGCCCGCACTTTTGATGATCATACTATCTGCAGCAGTACTTGCGGGCCCCTGTGCTGCGCTCGCCGGGGAGGCGTCCCTCAGGAAGGATTTCGATCTCTTCCCACTATCCAGGAGCAAAAAGAAGAGAGCATAGCATAAAAAATTCTGTATCCTTTATGCAAAAACGAATATTAACGAAACAATCTCTGTCTCCTGCCTGGCCACGATGGCCGCCGGCACGGCATGGTCGGGGCTCGTGGTGCATGACAGGCTCTTGCTAGGAACACTTTTCAAATAAAAGTAGAACTAGTAGTAGAAGTGCGTGATATTCGTTTTTGCATTTACAAACTATGCTATGCTCGTGATGATTTTTACTGTGATACCCAGCGAATGACGCCCTCTTCTGCAGGGCAGAGACCATCTCACTTGCACGCGCGGCGGCACTCCTCCTACCACTCGTGTGCGCGAGCGCATGGGGCAGAAAACTGCCAAGTCTTCCGGAGCCCTCTCGTTGCAGCGCCGAACCGGGACCGACGGCGCTCTTTATTTTCTTTCTCAACTTTTTTGCCCTACGTTTTTGCCCACCGGTATCCGACGAGTTGTAGTCGCTGAAGTCGTATCAACCGCAAATATCATGTCAATCGGGTCTGGAAATAAAGTACTTGTGCGCGATATAATTTTTCCTTTCTTTTAATTGCTTTTTATCAATCTCTGTTGATGCAGTCGATAAAATCACACGACAGTCAAAATCACCGACATCCATCCTAACCAACTAAAAACTTACGGATTGCTTTGCGCCGCGTGACAAGCAGCTACAGTACGGCATTCATACTCGATCCGCTTCTGCTCAACATGCATTTGTGTGATATAATCGCGCCTCCAAGACAGACTTCATCTTGAAAGAACATCTACATCTTCAGTTGTAGACGTTGGCATAACTCATATTTCATTCAGACCTTCTCGACGTAATATTTACAGTATGCATAATGCATCGGTGTCGTAGGTGTCCTCGTCGGAGGCAGCGACGGCCGTGGAAGTGTATCATATTGAAAAGCGCCCCCACTCCACCAGATTTTCGAGGCATTTTCAAAGCAAGCTTCCCAATAGAAACGCGTATCAGCGTCACAAATTTTCGATACAGGATAGCAAAAATATAAACAAAAGCCACAGCAACAGTCGCAGTGGCACCTGTCATACAAAAATGCTTTACACAGCTAAAATCTCGGTCGGGCAAGCTCGTATTTCTTCCGTGCAAAACAAAACCTTGTAATAAATTCTGGAACTCTGCATCTAGACATGTTTGCCAATCTTGGTGGTGCTGGGCCACTTTTCCTGGAAATAAAGTAGGCTTGTTCTTTTTTTCCTTCCTCGTCCTACTTTTTTTCCTGCTGCTCTTTTTCACCGCCACAACAGGATCGTCCGCTCCTGCTTCGGCCAGGGTCTCTTTATTCCCGTCGGCGTGCGACACGGTGTAGTCCTCGTGGGACCCCACGTAGTCCGCTTGCGCCTCAAGCTGGACGGCTTTCTTCGCCTGCTCGTCATGGTTCTCTCCTCCAAGGCCGTCGGCCTGGCCTGCTGGATCAAGACCATGGGGGTGGTTCGCCACGTCGCTGTGTGCGGCCGGGTCCACTCCGTAGTCGAAACTAGAGCGTAGGTGATGAACCTCACCGTGGTGATGAACCTCCGCAGGAAGTTGTTCTCCGCCCTGCTCGCGACGGTCGTTGACTATATCCAATAAATCTCTTCCAGCACCACGCTCTCCTCGACCACCGTGCTCGAGAGTAGCCTCTTCTCCGCTTTCATCGTTCGCTTCATCATCCAGGCGGCACCACAGCCACCAGAAACCCACGACCAAGAGAATCGCAAAGACAGTCACAGTGACGCCAATGATCAGAATCCACTTCTGTTTCTTCTCCTCGCTCATCTCGCCCCAAGAACCACCGTTCTCACTACTGCCACTGCTTTCGCCGCCCGTTTGAATCCGCAGGCTCATGGAAGCATCGTCCGGCGTGTTGCTGCTGTTGCCCTTTGCGCCCGTACTTTCACCTCCCCGACGTAATTGTCCGAGTCGGTGTTTTAGCCACGTGTCCTTGCCATTGCGTCTTTGATTTTCTTTCTCACCCGCCTCCGTACCATGGCGTTCTTGAACTCTTTTATTTTCACTGGTCCACCTTATCTCATTCACGCGCTGGGATGGCCAAATTATGTCATTCTTCGGAGCATCTGATGCTTCTAGAACTTCTCCTTTTTCAATTTCAACTCCGTGGGAATGATTTCCGCCACTGTAATCTTTTTCATCTTGCTCCCCGTTCATAACATTATCATCATCTTCCGGTGAAGCTGCTGCGGCACTAGACGCCACTAAGTTTTTTCCTGTTGTTGACGGCACAGCAGTGAGGTGGGTGCTGGGAGTACTATAAGTGCTTGCGTTGACTGGCACAGCTCCACCTGAGCTGGTCGTCGTGTTTTCTCGCGGTATCGTTGCGCTTGATGCCCTCCTCTCACGACGACCATCTCCAACTACAGCATCCTGTTGCTCAGTCAATATGGTCCCTGCTTTATTTGCTTCGCCGAAATCCGTCCGGTCCTCATCCTGTTGGAGTCTTGTCTCATCCCCGTCAGCACGCCGGTTGGTTGTAGCGGGCCACCCCTCGCTCCCCGAACTTTTTCTCAAACCGCCCTTGTTCCTGTGTATTGCTGCTTCCGATTCGTCTGGAAGATGACCCGGCTGATGCTCACCTCCTTCCCGCGTGGTCCAGTAGGTCGGCCCCACTGGCTCCTTCGACAGAATCTTTATGTCCGAGGGAAGAGATGAAATCGGAGGCTGCTGACCCGCTAACACAAAAACGTCTTTTTCGTCGCCGAAGTCCATAAGGATTTTGCTTCCACTGCCTTTATTTTCCTCGTGGCCATGGACAACTCGCGCCTTTAATATTTTCCTTCTTCTCTCCAAAAAAGCGTGCGCCTTCGCGTCTGTGCTGCCGTCCTCTCGGCGTCGGCTGTAATCTGCATTTTCTCGTGCCGCTCGAGACCTCGCCAAAAGCGAAAAGGGACCTGCTTTCCGCTTATTATTCCTGTCAGCATCGGTTTTGATGGTGTTCTTACCCACGAATTCTGTACCATCTTCAGATTCGCGAAGATCGTCGTCACGACCTCGACGTTGCAGCTCCTGCGTCCTCACAACAGATCCTCGCCCTGCTTTCGACGTGTCATCCTCTTCGCTACTTCTCGAGACCGCAACACTTCTGGTGCTTCGGGCGCGCCGACGTTTGTTCCGGGTCGTTGTACTTGCTCCATCTGACGTTGTTGTAGTGTGGAGATAGTTGCCATGAACCTGCGCACCGACCACCGGGTGAGGGGAGGAAAAGTCCTGCACGTAGAATGGAAGGAGTGCGAAATGATGAATGGGGCGGTTGTGGAGAAGAACAGAAACGCGCTTCATTGCGAATGGCTCTCTTGCTGTTCTAGAAAGTACCTCGGACGTCGTGCCAGTTCCCTTTGTAACGACCAAAGGGCGGCGAGGCAGGTGAGAAAGATAAACTTTCAGGTGGTTCGTTTGTGCTCTACTTAGAGGTGCAATTATGGATAGCGGTACTAGTTACGTGTTGGGAGTTACTCGCAATTTTTTAATAGGGTTCCATCGGGGAGACAGATGTAAACCACGGCATACAACCACACATAAAAAACACATTTTGCAAATAAAGAATCTTATTCTGAGTAGGGTGTACACGATGACAGGGGGTGAGGACACGCATCCTTACAGACCGCCAGGATCTGTTGGTGCGAAACCATATCTGTCCTGTGTATTGTTTCAGACGCAGTAACGTCGTCAATCTTTATTTGAAATGAAACCTCACAAAAATTTTGGTGAAACTAAACGAGTTGCACTTGCACGACAAGACGGAAGACACGGGGGACGCGAACGAATGTCCCATGTCTTCTAAAAACCAGCACGATGAGAGCGAGGCTGTGAACGGTTAGGCTTCTTGCGTGAAAGACGAAACGACGCAACGATTTTATTTTCATGCTGAACGACGAAGACCTGCAGTGCAATAGGGACAAAAACACGACGGCCGACAAGCACATATACATCACACGATGGATGGGGGCACATGATCTAGTACACGTACAGAGAGAAATATCGAGGAATGAAAGCTAGCTGCCGAGGATCGTGCATGGCGGACCGTGCACGGCAGTCAACACGTCGGTCTTTGCCGTGAACAAGGTCAAGAAAAGATGAAATTGCATAACTTCCTCTTTCTCCATTCAAAACCTGAGGTTTCAGAATATTGAATCATTCCACGATTGCTACACAGTGTGATCCCCGAGCCGTCAGGTCCGCTATTTTGCAGCTTTCTAGTAGAGTACCGCAACTTTTTGCCGCCTTATCACCTTCTGATCCTTCTCCTGTCGTCGTGAAAGGGTCAAACAATGTCGGTTCCACGAAATCTTCCGGGAGACAGCCGGTGTTTTTCTTCCCCCATCCGAACAAACTCCCGCCTTGCGTGAGCAAAAGCGAGAACCGGCCGCCACCGATGAGTTTCTTTATCCGGTTTTGCGGGTCTGTGTCGTCTTCGACAAAGATTTTTCTGCTTTTTATTTCCGTCGCAGTTGTTCCCCCGCTGTCGGACGCTGCCGTTTGCGTACTTCCTGCTCCGCTGCTCTCCGCCTTCTGCCGTTCGCTGTGTTCTTCCAAAGTCCTGGAAATGCGGTGGGGGGAGAGCCAATTCCTGTTGCCCCAAGTGAACACTTTCCCGCACTCTGTCAGCACGTCGGTGTGCCCGTCGCCGCAAGCGAAATCCGCTACTTTGAGGCCGGCAAGCGGGAGTGCGCGAACCAGGCGGGGGAAGGACTGGGATTAACGAGTGGAAATTTTCATTTTTTGCTCAGAAACAGCTTGTAGCCTGATAAAGTAAATTTCCATCGACAAAAATGCGCGCTATCGTAGAAGGCGACACAGACTTCAGGTGAACAAATAGGGGGTCTACGTCTAGTCAGACCTGATCGACTCTGGTGCGGGTGCGGCGACGAGTAACTACAACTTCTAGAAGCGATGCATGTACTCACCTCAAAGGAGAAGTTGTCCCCCATAGACTCGTCTCCTAGCCCGAGCTGCGCCTGGTCGTTCCGGCCCCAGACAAACAGTTCGCCTTGCTTTGTCAATGCCGCCGTGTGGTGCAGTCCGCAGTATCATATTGAAAAGCGCTTCGGCCCCAGAATTTCGAAGCGTTTACATCGTATCTATTCCACAAGACAAGTTTTCAAGCCAGAGTACGTAGCGAAAGTCTGTGTTTCACAGCGCCATAATGTAGTTGATGTCTGTCATGCTGAAGTTGCGTAACTAGCTTGAATTCTGAAACAAAATGCGTCGCGTTCACGACTTTCTGCAACAGAAACATTTTCCGTGTGAAAAGTTTGCACGTCTTCTGCTGGTCGGGCGGTACTTTTCATTTTGATACGCAGTCGATCTTGACGATGCTGTCCTCCGCAACGCCGGCTGCCTCGAACTCGGAGTCGGGATAGTGCTCGACGAGTTCAAACTCAGCGGAGTCGGACACATCGCCCAACCCGAGCAGCCCATACTCCCCGCTGCCGGTGGTAAACACGCGGCCAGATTCTGTCAGCACCGCCGTGTGCTTTTCCCCGCAGGCGACCTGGTATAGAAAGATTTTGATTGGAGTACAAATCACAAACATAAAACTGCGAAAGTACTACAAAATTTTCGGATCGGTGAGGCTGCACCGCGGATGATCTTCAGCAAGGACAAACTAGACCAACATTTCACGCGTGACTGTCATTATACTGTGCAGCAACTCTGTAGTACGCAAGTAAAAGTATCATACCTGTTTCACTTTCTCGCCCGCTAGTGTCTCCACCAAGGCCGGCTCTTCCACATGGTCCCTATCCGGCTTGAAACCCAGTGCCCCGGCGCCTCCGAAGAAGCTCCCTCCCCAGCCCCAGGCGTACAACTCGCCGGTTTTTAGGACCGCGGAACCGTGCTTCGCGCCTAGAGCAACTTGCCTACAGGCATGGGGCAGGTTCACCTGATAATGGCAATAAGTATGCGCAAAAAAATATCAACATTTGCTGCGCGAGTCATCCGCTTACATACCCTGCAGATTTGCATTAAAACTTTTCTAAAAAATCCAGTCAGTAGTACTGCAGACAGCCGGAGGTCTACTCCCGAGACGTCACCTCCGCCAGTCGTTATCCTCCCGCTGCTATACTTATTCTTCCCCTGCGTCCACAGTTTTCCCTCGGTACAAACGGCCGCCACCTGGTCCTTTGCAATGCTGGTCGAAACGAATTTTGGCTCACTTGCAGCTGCAGTCCCAGACGTATCAGCAACACCCTGCTCCTGCGACGACGCTGCGCCAGTGCCCGTAGATAACTTACTCGGCGGCGTCATTTTTGCAGACGAGCGAGAGAAAAAGGACGAGCTTGCTTCGGACAGGCCCCAGCGGTAAAGCCCGCTAGAAGAGATCGCACGGGACGTAGACGAGGAGGCGGCGGACATGTCTTTTGCTTGAATTTTTCTTTTGAGACTTGTGCGATTAGTAAAGCTCAATGCGTGGGGTCGACGCCCCGCCACGACCTGCTCGTGCTTCTTTACGATCTGAAAACCAAAACGCACGTGGAGTAGACGTTAAAGAAAAAAAAACGCAATCAGAAAAGAAAAAGCGGGATCAATTGTTATCACACTGATTGTTGAGCTGCAACTCTGTCCAGGCTTACGCAAGAGAGCTTCTTGACGATCTGAAGAAAAGTGGAAACCGGATCCTTACGAACTACAAGAGATCCTGATACCATGTGACCAGTTCCGAACTGTCGGCACTCAAAAGGAAACCTTCAACCAGAAAAAGTTGAATTCGGTTAGCAAAAGAGATCGAGCATGATCTTCGGGATGATCCGTTTCATGATATTCATGACACCCGCAAGCCCAGAAGAAGAGCCTGATTGATCCGCAAAAGGCAGCAGATCTACATCTCCTTTGTCGAACACCACACAAACTGCAGTCTGAAACGCGCCTGCGTCTCGCCTTTCGCATTTAGAATTGCTGTATACAACCGGGAGTGAATTTTGATAAGTAAGTAAGTATCTTCAGTCTTGGGAATCGAAACCTGAGTCGGGGCGGGGGAGCGCTTGGACCTTGTGAAGAGTGTACTTCGAAAGAACGCGGCGGGGGTAATAATTCTCACGAAAGGCAGTAGGTGGACAATATGAGAAATAGAGACTGCAACGAGCACTATCTTCCAGCATTTTTTTAGAAGGTAAAGCTACTTACACCGCACCATGCATAATATTCCGGGCAGTTTACACTGCCAAAACAGATTTTCTCGGCGCTGGTGCAATTTGGGCATTGTAATCATACAAACTAACAGTGGTTTTAAAACAGTACGTAGGACTCCATGCTCTTATCGAATTCGAAACTTTTACCCGGTACGTTTTCTACTCTTCTATTCGCAAAATTTAGCTCGATTAAAAGTAGTACTTACTTTATTCTTTGCGCCATCCGCAGCATTCGCAAAACATTGAAAAAAGCGTCCTCGTGCTACTAACCCTCTTCCGGCCGTCGCACAGCAATCGCACAGCTGTGAAAGCGACCGCGAACGGTAGGGCGGGAAACAATGATTGTTGCAATTTACCTCCCATAAAACCATTCTCTACTTACCTTTAGTTTCAAGAAAAAGACATTGAAACGCCGCTCCTTCTCAGTGCTTGATGAAGGAGCGGTCTTCACTGATTTTGATATTGATTTTTCGTGTGCTAGTGTTACGATTAGAATCAGAATAGTGTGCTAGTGTTACGATTAGAATTCCTCCTTGCCTGCAATAAGACCAGCACCCTCTACTTGAGAGAGAATGGCTGTTCCTATCGTGTTGCGTGTTAGAAGTGTTACGATTAGAATTAGAATATCTTAATGTAGTTACCTTACGATTAGAAAATTCGAAATAAAACCGAGGGAAAAGAAAAATGGCCCCGACTTATGACATTTACAGCAGTACTTCTATAGCAGCCTTGGGGTGCAAGGCCACACACAGGACCACTGCTATAACATCTGATTCAAAAAAAAGCCGTCGAAACATGAAAAAACTTCACAACCGTCTTCCCTACACCGTTTCGTCGTCCTCCGCAGCGGAGACCTTGCGTCCCTTCGGCGGCGCCATCCGTTCCGCGACGAGGCGCTTGTTCTCCTCCTCTTGGCGCTCCCACTCCGCCAGAGCCTTCGCTCGCGCTTCCGCGATTTTCTCTTTTCTAGCCGCGACCTCGGACCCCTCGGCGACAGTGGAGGAAGACAAAGGGTTTCGCCGCATGAAAATCTCCTCCCCCGGAAGCTGGATCTTCAAATCCTCCTTCTTTTGCTTCTGTGCGTCCGGCGAGACACAGCTGTTGCCTGTGATCAGATTTTCAATTTGTATTGCAAAACGGGTCGTGAAGGCACTTGAAGTAGACGGATGAATGAGGAATCTCAAAGGGTGGATCGAATTCTATCAAGGTATGCAATGCAAACCTCGATCTGGTGACGCAACACTCCTCATAAAAGCTGCGATGCCTGTGTGGCGACGGCTCCCCACTGACGTAAATCTAAATTGATTTCCGATGAAAAAAAGAAAAAACAACTACCTGGCGAGATATCGGTGACCATCATGCCTGGTGGTATGACTTGGTTTGGTTTTGGCAGCAGCCCGACTTTCCCCGTCTTGTGGCCGAAGAGCAATCCGAACTTCTTTTGCCAAACGAATCGGTCCTCCATGTTCTTGTCGCACAGCGAGATGGGTATCCGGCCGATCTGCACGACGGACTCGAAGAGGGATTTTTTCTGCCCGTCGTTCGTCGAGGTTTCCTTCGCCGGCTGGTTAATCTCGATCGACAGAAAATGCAGCACCCGGTGAATCGGCGAGCAGCTCGACGTGCAGCCGAACGGCATCAGTTTGTTTTTCCCCTTCAAAGTGTTTGGCTCGGACAAATTCACCTCGATCACCCGCTCTTCCTCGTCAAAACTCCGGTAGCGCATGGTGTCCGGGGTCTCGATCACGTTCGCCAAGTGGGGGGTCACGTCCGGGATTTCGATCGTCACGTCCTGACCCGAGGGGTCGTTGGGGGAAAACTGGGTGGAATCGAGCACGTGGGTGTGGAGGATTCTGGACGTCCAGGTGGTGGTGAAGTGGTGCCACTCTTCCTGCAGCACCTCGAAGTGGTTGGACTCGTCTTCCTGCTTGAAGCACTTCGTCCCCACCGGTGGGTACAGCGTGTAGTCCTGGTAGTCGTCCTCCGTCATTTCGCTGCCCACCGGCTGCCCGCTCATGCAGACCACCTCGGTGAGCCGCACGAGGAGCTTCTTATAGACCGCGGGCCGCTGGCTGGACGTGGAGCAATTTCTCAGTTTGAAGCTGATGGTCAGTGGCTGTTTCGTGGGATCCGCGGTCTGGTCGTCGTTCGTGGCGGGGAGGGGACCGAGGTCCGCGCGACTCAGCCGGTTGAAGCTCGGGCTCTTCTCCATCGCGCGCTTTTCGACTTCGGACGTGTAGGTGCGAGGGATGTTGTTCAAGTAGAGACAGCTTGGCTTTATCGTCACATTCTCCAAAACGGCCTCGGTGGTCTCGGATTTGCTCCCTGTGATTGTGACATTATTTTTGTGGTTGATTTGTTTTCCGATAAATTTTAGGCTGAGGTTATTCAAGAAGGATGAGATCTGCAGTTCATCATCATCTCGTTGCGCAATTTGGGCAGGACAACAACACACCATACCTCTAGAAACCCAAGGAAACCAAAATTATCAATTTACATGGTGGCTTGCAGAATTTGTCCGTTCCAGGTAGAATGATTGGCACACTGTCGGCTTTTATCTGGTGCTTCCCTTGCACGTCATTAGCATCGCGAATTGCAAAGGGATTGTCGATGAGCGCCTTGGCGCCCCCTTTGCCCTTCTGCCCGGCCTCCTCATCCTCCTGTTTTTTTTTTTGGTAGTAATGATTGATGTATTGACGGTGCAGTCAAATGCTTATGGATATGATTTACATGGTCTTTCAAAGAACCATCTTATCACTACACACACTCAATTCGATAACAACCCCAAACATTCACAGTACCTCTGCGTCCTCCCCTTCGAGAGATTTTGATTTTGACGCCTTGGCCTTCTTTTTCTTCCCCCCCTCGGGACTTGCGCCCCCGCCCGCCGGAGCCTTGCCCCCCTTCTTTCGTCTTCTGCGGCCGCGTCGCATCTTGGCCGCCTGTGCGCCGAGAGAAATGATTTCGCCGCCCTCGAAGCCTTGGGATTCCACTCCCTTCTCAATGCACTCCTGTCGGTTGCGCTCCAGAATTTCTTCCGCGGATATGTACCTAGAAGTGTTGTGATTTTGGAGGATATTGCTTGTAGGCGATTCTTTCAACAGGAAAACAGGACCCCCTTTGGCTTATTTTTTCACAAGAGTGCTGCTATCCTTCAGGGCACATAAACTACATGTTGCCACGAGAAGTTTCAGGCACGATACCACAGCATACACGAGCAATGAAATCCAAATCCTACACATGAAAACACAAAAAAAGGCCCTAGCGTACTTTCCGGTGTTCACGTCCAACGTTTCGCGCCTGACGTTGAGACTTCCGCACACGATGCTGCCCTGCTCAAACGCCTGTCTGGCGAGCGGGCTGAAGTACACGTTCCCCGTGCCGTGGCAGGGGAAGTACATGGACGTCTTCATGTAGATCGGTTGCGCCATCTCCTGATTCCTCACGAACAGCTTCGCCTTCACCTTGTAGAATACGCCCGCGCACTTGTCAAAGGCCTTGTCCTTGAAAATGCCGTCCGGCGTGGTGGACGGGGGGTAAATCTCTTTCATCGGCCACTTTATCGCGAAGCTCCACTCGCGCCCGGCGGTCTGGTACACCGGGAGCCCGCCCGTCGTCATGCGCGGCTTCAGATGCGGAGGGGTATCGTCACCGTCCACTCCTGTTGTTAAGGTTGTCGTGTATTGTGGATTTTTGTAGAATGACTGCTATACTTTTCTTCTTCTGATGGTACTCAGTGTGCTCTGCACTGTCACAACACGCAGTGTGTGATTATATCATATGACTCTAGCATCGCATCAGAAAAACGAAAATCTCATGTGCATAAATCATATCGAAAATTATCAATACTTTCTGTCTCCCAAACGACGAACTTTTCCTTGATAAATTTTTCCCTCCCAAAGTAGCACTGTCCGTCGCTCCACCACTTTGCGATGGCGCGGCCCGTTAGTGTCATTTCAAGTCTCTCCATGTCCTGGTGCATATCGCGAAGCAGCACTATTTGACCGGACAGTTCCTGTTGTTGGAATTTATTTGAAAAAATTGCGATAAGGTTTTCTTTTATGTGCATCATGGCAAGTGGAAAAAGACCATGTAAAAACGGTAACATACGCTCTTGCACCTGCAAACCAAAGGAGGACCTAAATCAAAATAAGTATGAAGTACCGCCCCTGGAAAGACCACCGGCACCTCGGCGGAGTCCAGACGAAGCTTGAGCAGCGGCGAAAAGTTGACATTGTCTGACTGCTGCGTCGCTCCCCGGCGGGGACAATACACTTTCGTACTGTCGAAAGGCCTGTTCCGCCTACCCATACTCAGCGCGCCGACCTTCATCTACGCAGAATTTTTGCAAGTCTGCAGAATTCTGAGAGGCTCCTGCTCCGCGGGTCGGCGGGGAACTTGTTTCTTTCTTACCTGCCCTGCGAGGAGGCCTCTAAAACTTGCGTTTTGGGAAAATAAATTGAAGAGTCTTTTGATCCATAGGAACTCCAGGTTGTGAAGTTCAATAGCGATGTTCTCACTGAAAAAATGGGGAAAATTGCAAACAGAATGCTCGATTGTCAGGAGTTTAATTTGATGTGTCACGGGTAGACCTGGTGGTGAGAAGAGTTATTCAGATTGAGTCGGAAAATCCTTGAAAAGGTATTGTGGACGAAAATGTTGCAAAGTACGGAGAAGAGCGACGCTTTATGTTGTCGCACGGAAGTAGTGTGTTGCACGACGTTGATTGATGCACGGTAGTACGTTAGGACCGATAGTTTCGTTCAATTCTTTCTGTAGCGCTGTACGAAGTTGATACGCTGCACATCGGTGGACCGATCTCAGGAAAGAAGCTGCTCTTTTCTTTCTTCTTTAGTACGTCGCAGGGTGCACTATGGATGAACTGACACACCAGTGCCGGAATACGATACTGGCCACTACTTGTAAGTATCCACACTGCACGAACCGAAAGTGGCATTCACTCACTGAAATCAGGACACCGAGATTAATCTTTATCAATCAGGACGAACATTAAACCGCTCTGTCGCCTCGAGCCGAGGAATCGGCTTCGGCTGCTTGCTGTTTCATTCGTTGAAGTACGATGCGAACGCGCGATGAATAAGTACGGAATAGTACCATGCTCTTTATGGCGCAGTGTAAGTTGTACTCAGTAGCAACAGGGGAATGATTGGGATACAACATCACCACTCACCCGCCCGCACTCCCGCCTGCGGGCACCAGCTGCAGATACTGCAGCTTTTTCCCGATTGCCTCTTCATCCAAGGTGCAGCTTGCCGCTGAAAAGTTCGCACCTCCCGCTACATTGCCGTAAATGGCTTTCAGATGCGCGTTGACCAACGGGACGAACAGCTGCTGAAAATTTTGCACGAATCTCCCGAACTCCTCCGACACACCGCCCGGACCGCCGCTTGTTATCCCGTACTGCAAGTGGCCGCTCAGGAACTCCTGCTGGTAATTTCGCAGTACATTCATCACCCCCTCGACCGTGAGCCCGAGTTGCTGGATTATCGGCCCCTTCGCCTCAAAGATCGCGCACTGCCGGAGTTCGTTGAACAGGTTGATAAAATCGTTGGTCAACACCGCCAACGGCCGGTGCTGCATCAACTTGTGCGCGTTCTCGATCATAAACTGACTGCTGGTCGAGGACTGCTGCGCGGAACTGACCCCGAAAGCGGACGATCCGGTTGAAGTTGTACTTGTGCCCGCGGAGCCGACGAGAAAGTCAAAGTTGCGCAAGCCGGTCTGGAAATTCTCCAGAGCAGCATCCAGCCTCGTGGTCACGAGAAACAGCAACCTTTTCACGAACAAGAGCTGCACGGCCGGGAAAAATTGGCAGTGAAGCAGCTTCATCGTGTTTGAGCAGTGCTGCACGCACTTCTGAATGGTCGCAATACCCGCGGCGTCCAGGTCCTGGAGCGCGGAGTCATTGTAGATTTGAGTCGGTACTACGGAGGTGAGCTGCCTGTTCTGCTGCATCGTTGTACTACCAGCACTGCAGGCAAGTTGGGACTGAAGTAGGTCAAAAAACCAACGGAGTTGAAGCTGCAACCAGTTGGAAAAAACAACTTCGGTTTGCCGGGAGTATGCAATTGGAAAGAAATCTTCGAGGTTGTGATGCGATTCATGAGCAGCGTTATCAGTGGATCGCTCCTTCTCCTGACACGTTGCTATGAATGAAACGCGAGAAGACGATAGAGCAGACTTGTATCAGAAGTACAATCACAGTCAGGATAGGTCTAGTATCATTTATCGAATGATGATGTTTCGTGCCAGGCCACGCAAGAACGTGCGCGCTACGCATCACAACCAAAGATGGCTTGTCTCCATTTCATACCCTGTCTTGCCCGCTGACAGACTGGAAAAAAAGCGCCTTGTAGTGCATTCCAATGTCGAAAACCTGAGTATTTTCATAGTAACCCATGATCAATAGACTGCAACTTCGGCGCCGCAAAATCGTTCAGGCGAAGCAAAACAAAATTATCAACAACGAGACACGTGGTAGAACATGATTTTCCAACACTAAGAACCGTACGTAGGTCCGCATTAGGTCGGTTGCGGCTCGCAAACACCCCACGGGGTTCACATTCGCCAGGTTTTTCTCGATCTGCTTCTTGTGCTTGTCAATGAACGCCGCCCGCTGTTCCAGGAATAGTGTCCGAATCTCGGCCTCGTTGTAGCTGCCCAACCTCCTCAAGTACCCGATGACGCGCACGCACGCGGGTAGGTGTATATCCGCGGCAAGCTGATTGAGCAGAGACTCCTCAAAATGCGTTCGCTGCCGGGCGACTTGCGCTTCGAGCAGCTCGAGGAGCGCGGAGTGATTTGGAGAGCTTTTCGATTCTGCTGCGCTCGATGCTGCTCCCGCTGTAAGTGAAGAAGACACGTTATCTCCAAGGGAGGCGTTGGAAGCAATAGCAGCTCCTGATGAAGACACTCCAATCCGGTTCTTCATGAAAGCGGAGTGGAACAAGTGCTGACAGAAAGACAGGAGATCTAGCGTTTCGTCAAACATGTTGGCGCGAATGCAGGCGTCGAGCAGCTGCGGCACTTCGAGGAGTTCCTGAATCGTAGTGAGCTTCGTCAAAACGTTGGTGAGTTTCGTCCGCTCATTGTTCAGCGAGGGGGCAATGTCGTGGTAAAAGGCTTCCATTTGCTGCTTGATGCTTGTTGGCAGGTTGGCGATGCTGCGGTATCGCTGCAATATTTCCGGGAATTCCTCGTCGCTGACAGACGCTGCGAGTGTGGTGTTGCTCAGAAACGAACCGACGTTCTGTCATGTGTAAAAGCCAATGGGAAAGTCCCATCCATTTGTGCATCATGATCTCAGTACGTGCATCACGCATCAAAAAATTTGTCTTGTATCACCCGCCCTGCACAACATCAAAGCCAGACATTGTAGTTGCACGCACAAAACCAAATACCTGACTCGCCAAGTTTTCCATTTCGTGCCGCAAGAAGTGCAGCTCGTTCTTCAGACTGGCCGGCTCCTGGCATATTTTGTCGTAGGAGCTCGCACCGAGAAAGGGCACATAGGTTTTCGCCAGTTGGTAGGTGAGACACTCCGGGTCGCAGTCCTCTTTTGCCAGGAGGAGGGGAAACAAGTTTTCGATGGAGCTCGGGTTCGGGTCTTCCAGCCCGTACTTCTTTGCCATCGTCGAAAAGTCCTCCAGCTTCGAGGAGGCCCCCGAGGCTGGATCCAGGGACACGGAAATGGGCTCCATTTTGTATTGCCTATACTTCTGCTTGGAGGCTTCGGTACTAGTAACTCCCTGATATCAAAAATACGTGGGCCGAATCATGCGATTCGTACAGACGACATTGCGAAATTTACTTACGACGTGCAGTACTGCGTCCTTGTTATTCCGACTGAGCGCTGCAGCCGAAGCTGCTACTAGCAGAGTTTACAACATCTACTTGCCTAAGTTGCTTTCAACATCTGACAGAAAATTATTCAGCGAAGGTTCAACGGTATACGATTGAGAAGGCAAAGCAAAAGGAAAAGATGCAGAGATGACACTGAAAATAAAAGCGGCGGAGCTATCGGCTCACGGCCGAGCCGATTTTGCATGAACAGGCAAGGTAATGACCTGCCTACAGGTGTCGACCAGCTGAATAGAATTTGAAATCGCCAGAAGTGCTTCATCAGATATTGATTCCACCAAACAAATGGGCGGATGCCAAAAATGCTAGGGGAAAAGCTTTGGCGCACCAAGCCCACAACCTTTAATATCATGTGCGTTTGCTTTATTCTCACGGATAGAATACGTCACCTTTCGTGGAACAAGGCGTAGAAGTTCCTTAGTATCTACTACAGGAGGTAGGTAGCGGTCGTACTAGAACTGAACTCGCGGAAAAGATCCAACTCCACACTGTTCAAGACAATGCTGCAGGTGCAGCAATAGAATCGACTACGCACGACATCTTCAAGGCCCAATCCTATATCGGCAACCTTTCCCCGTCTCCCTCGTGGCCTATCCAGCCGAATTTGTTTTTGTACTGCACCTTCTTGCGACTCGCCAGGTTTTCGAAGATCGCCTTGTACGGGCTGCAGGTGGACACTTTTTCGAAGTCGTACCAGTCAAACCAGCACTGGTGTTCGTCGATCAGTCGTTTTGTCTTCTCCAACTCCTCAAAATGCCCCTCGACGTACTCTAATACCCAGTAGTACAGCTCGTCGTTAACCTCGTTCTGCGGCCACCGCACGCTGATACGCTTCCAGTTGATTTGGTTGTGAAAAGGCAGGATGAACTTGTCGGACAGGATGAGTGGAATGCAGCCGGCGAAGAACGCCGTGTACAAATGGTTCGTCCAGCTGCTCGTGCCTTCCGGAATGAGGCAGAAGTGCGACTTGCCGATGATTTCGAAGTAGTTTGGCGTGAAGTCGCCGATGGACGTGTTGGGCTTGTTCGTGAAGTATTTCTCGATGTCAATCCGGACCTTGACCTGTTTGTAGTAGTCGTGGTTGTTGCCCGTCCGCCCGTGGAAGCTGAACAGCAGCGTCCGCTCCTTGCTCGGCAGGTTGTATTTGCGGATCTCCGCGATCCGGTACTCGTCCAAGTGCCCGGGCACCACCCAGTCCTTCCAGGGCGAGAAGCAGCTCGGCCCGTACCCGGGGGTGAAGGCCTCGGTCGTGAGAAAAATCGAGTGCGGGATGTGCTCGCGCCACTCCGGGAAGGTGTGCGTGAAGTTCACGATGAACCCCTGGTCGGAAAAGACGAAGATGTGGTCCGTGCCCGCGTTATCAAAAGGAAACATCCCCCCACCCCATATCAAAACGCAACTTCTGATGCTGGACTTGGATACACAAATCCAATTTGTGTTGCAGTAGAAGACTGCACGCAGATCCTAAGCCTAGGCAGGGGCCTTTTGGTTTAGGCGCCTAACATGGTAGACGGCTAACCCGTAGGCCTTACAGCATTACAAATCGCCTACATAACGTGGCGGAAAGCCTGAGCGCGCCTCTTTGCAAGACAGGCCCGATTTGTGGTCACAAATCTGCATCACAAATTTTCAAACGGCTGCGGTTTCAATATGGGGAGGGGGGATTTTTCCTTGCAATACGCATTGCGGTTGAACCAGGGCTGCAGGTAGGAACTGATCAAGTTTTTGAACAGAGAATCCGCTTCGTCGTAGTCCCGCGTTTTGTTTTTGTGGTTCAGGATGATGATCGAATGCGGATCCTGCCTTTCCTCCTCCGCCGCGTTTTCGTACTCGGGCAGGTGCGCTTTCGTCGTTAGGCCCTGTTGCCCGAACTTCTTCGGCGTCAGGTGGTAGTGGCACGCGCGGTAGTCGGGCACGAAGAACAGGTCGGCGGTCTTGGGGTCGTCGGTCCGACAGCTGCTGTTCATCAAAAACCGGTGCAGCACCACCTCGATCCCCCACTGCCCGGCGGAGCAAAACAACCCACCGCGCTCGTACTCGAACGTTTTGTGGATGTAGATCTTTAGGTTCGTGCCGAAGCAGGGGAGGCGCTCTGATAGCACTTGTGGTCCTCCAGCTGGGGTAATATCATCCTTGCTACTATAGCCCCAGTCGTCATATTTCCCGAGCCCGAGCAAAACCGCGAACGGCGCCGCGCCGGCGTGGTTTGCGGTAGTAATCGACGCGTGAACCGCACTCATGGCGGACGGCAGTTTCAGGGGGCGCAACACCGGCGCGAGCGGGATGGTCCAGTTCGCGAGCAGGCGGTGTGGCGCGATCGTTTGCAACAGTTGCACGCTGCCGATGTAGATCTGCTGCGCCGTGGCCAGTCCGTCCTCGAACTCGATCGCGGGCAGGGCGTTCAGCAAGATGGTCAACGCCCCAAAGATGCAGTCCACGAACCACATGCCCTGGCCGTCTTCCAACTGCAAAAGCTTCTCCGGTGTGGCGATGGTGCCCCACCCGTGCGGGTGCTTGGACATCAGGTTGTAGAACGTGTAGTGTCGCTCCAGCATCCGGGGGGTGGAATCCAATAATTCGCGCACGTGGAAGCTGTCGTGAAAGGCCCGCACGTGGTTCCAGGTGGCCAACGGCAGACTGCCCGGGATGCTGCCGTCGCAACAGGAATTAAAGTCCTCGCAGCAGAGCGAACGGTTCTGCTTGCGGTGCATATCCAGCAAGGTTTCTATGTCTTTCTGCATGTGCTCGGGCACCTGCTTCAACGGGTTGCTTGGATACAGCAGCTCCGATTTCACCTTGCTCTCGGCCTCGGGGGTACTGGCGGTCGCTCGAGTTGTAGTACTATGGGTGGCTGATGCTGCTTTGATGCTGCCATCTGCTATTACTTGTACTCCAGCTGCACTGGATTCTGTCCTTCTCTCCGCTGGCAAAAACGCGTCCGGCAACTTCGGCGGTACGTAGACACTCCGACTCTCTAAAACGACTGGAGACTGGTGTTCTCCTTGATGCGATGAAGAGATAGATCCTGATGTTGACTCCGAAGGAGACCCAGCGACACCCTCCGCCCCGCCCTCAGTTCTCCCGGCGGGCACGAGCTGCACGGTTTTTCCCAGTTCCAGCCTCCCCTCGCTGTACTGGTTGCGCTGGATGTCGTACGCTTCTTGCTGCGTAGCCAGGTACTGGTCCGGGTTTTCTATCTTCTCCAGGTTCCACCCGTCCTCATCGTTTTTCACCTCGTAGCATTTCCTCAGGTATCCCATTGAGGGTTTGGTGGTGAAATCCGCTGCAAACTCGACGCGAACAGCACTGACGAGCGAAGAAGCAGGAAACAGTAGAAAAGACGAAAGCGCTGCTGTTGATATTATTGCCATGACCATCACGACGCTGAGGCTCTTCAACACGGCGGTCGCTGCTGTTCCGGAGAGAAGCACACGGAAGGTGAAGTCCTTTTGAGTGCGCTCACAGGACCTCTTCGCGATCGAAGGTTCGTGCGCCACAATCGCTCTATTTTCGCTCCTGTTGCACAGTGACGGATGCCGGGAGAGCGTAGTTCTTCCTATCCTCCTTGAGCGGCTTCTGAAAAGTCTTCCGCATGCTGTTTTCCCCTTCTCAGAAGTAGTTTCGACTGCGGTGAATAAACCAGGCTCATCGTGGTCCGGGAATGACGCTCGTCTGCGCTTGCGATTGCAGGCCAAGGCCTTTGTTTGCGAAACCGATGGCACGATTTTTCTCCGCAGAAACCGGCTGAGCACGCAAACAATGTGACCCATCGAAGAACGGTGTTGAAGCTCCATCTTGTTCTGCACAGTAATGCTCTTGAGAAGAAATCGTCGCACTTTCGATCCTCCAAAACTTCAAATTTCAGGTCATGGAAGCTTGATCTATCAAGAGGGCTCAACCGGAGCACACGACAGGCTAACTGATTCAACGCAGAAAGTTCATGGAGCACGGATCACAAAACGCGCTCCAAGGCTGCGCCGAACGAAAAACGTAGTGAAAAGAGTGGGCAGAGCAGTGAAAAAAAGCGCCATAAATTCAAGGCATCTTCCTACGGTCTTGCTTGCCATTGACACATTACGCAAACGAACAAATTTCCTCACCGGATCAGAAACGGTTTGACCTTGACGCATTTTAACGCAAGAAAGACGAAATTTCAAGAAAAACCGGATTCTGTGAGTTACACTTCTAAGCTGGTTCTTTACTTCTATGTTTACACGCGCCTGCAGCCAGCCTCTGTCAAAAAGCAGACCTGACTGCAGCGCAGCAAATACTTCTGTTGTCTGCGTTTTTATCAATATGAAAGAAGCAAGTTTGTTTTTCTGGTTCTTTGTGATTTTTCATCACCGCGTGTATTTGAACACCTCGCCTATATCGCAGTGCTTTCCGCCAAATCCAGGTCGTGAATGTTGCACGTTTGGTCCCAGCTCGAGGTCAGCACTCGGTAGCGGTCAGGTCGGGAACTCAGCGGATCTTTCATCCACGCAACGTTTGTCGCCCCGAGACTGTGCCCGATCAGGCTCAGCTGTATAGAGAATTTCAGAAGATTTTCGAATCCATGATTCTCGTCATGCTGAACAAGACCCGATTACACAGTCAGTTTCATCTCATGCAGATGAAAGCACTGCAAAGCAAGAATACCATTCCGTCCGAGAAGCCGTCCTGCTTGATTCGGTGCACCTCCAAGCTCATGGCCTTCGCTGTCTCGGTGTATTTGGCACGCATCCTGGTCCTTACGTCGACGTCGCTCTCGGACTCTAGTCGCTTTCGCTTCTCCAGCACCGTGCGGAGCTTTTCTTTTCGGATCTGCAAGTCGTTCACCCGAAAGATGCGCACGCTCCCGTCCTCGCAGGCTGTGGACACGTACTTCTTGTCAGGGGACGCCGACACCGAGCGGACCTAGAAATAAATGCATCACAAGTGACCAATTTCCTGCTGGAATAGAAAAGATGTTGAGACGCAGTATCTATCAAAATACACCCAGTACCCTGCCAACGATGCTGGGCGATCCTGCAATTCATGCGACAGTCAGAAACAAAACTTTAGTATAAAGTACGGGCGCAATGTGTCCGAGGAAGGACTCGGCGACGTTGCCCTGGTAGTCCGACATTCGCAGGTCCCATTTTTTTGCTTTGTTATCACCGCCGGAGGTATGGAGAGATAGCAAAGGTTCTTTTCTAAATGCATATGTACAGCAGGCACATGATCCTCGGTTCTAATTTTTCTACTCTATATGATGTTCCATGCTGCGCATCATGCGCTACCACTTGTAACTCGTCAAACTGGTACTGCTCACGCGCAGCAACATAGCTGGTGAAGACTGTTCACCGCCTGTTCTTCATGCGTCAGACCTTCCCACTTTCTCTCTTGCCATAACACGTCAACAAAGTCCTGTCGTCTTCCAGCCAGTACAGACCCAGAACCGGCTGTCTATCGTGTGCGTGCAGTAGTTCGATGCCGGTCTGGAGCGTTATCCTATTTGCCAGCGTGCTCGCGGCGAGCCAGAAACCACGACTTTGGTTGACCCGGGCGTCCCAGAGCCTCACATGCCCGTCCTTGCCCGCAGTGGCAAAAACTGTTGGAGTGGCCTGTAGATGTGTTTAGAATCGTTCTTGCGTTGCAGAGCACTTTAACTTCGCCGAGCCGTGCTATACACTCTACTGTAATTTCATCAGATGCATTGGAAAGAAACCTTGAGCTGGTAACTGGAAAGAATAAACCCTCACAGTAAAGACCTGTGAAAACGCGGTTTTTGTCACTGCCGAGCCCGTGCCGACGTAGGTGACCGGGTCGGTGTAGCCGATGTGGCAATCCCAGCTCCACACGGCACCCCCCTTCTGCAGGTCCACCACCGAGCAGCGGCCCGTGCTGTCGCCGCACACCGCGAGATTCGGCAGTACCCGACTCATGTCCACCGTGTGCAGATTCCCGACCGTGTTCGTCATTTTCGAGCTTAACTGCGCTTGCAGCTGCAGCTTCTTGCCCACCCCCGCCGCTGTGTTCACCGAATACAGGGCCAACGTGCCCTTCTTCGTCTCCGGAAAGTCTGTCGGCAGGGACGGTCCTATGCATTGCAAATATGTCTGGGTCTGGAAGGATGCAAGGTCTGTCATGCTTGTCTGGCATGACTAAAAGTTTTGTGATGCGTGTCCAAGAAGAGACCCTTTCGCCTGTCACGCAATAACGCAGTTTGTCACGCGAAAAATGCAACACAAAGAAGCGCCGATATTTCTCATGCTTGGCTGTCCATTACAGAGCATTCACTACTCTCAACGCAGCATTACAAGTTTCCAGACCCAGACATATTTGCAATGCGTAGGCCCCCCAGACAGACAGAGTTTCTCGTCGGCGGACAAACAGAGGTCGTAGCTTGGCATGGCGTTCAGCTCCTGCTCCACGGCGACGGGAGCGCCGGCCGGGTTTTTTACCGCGGTGGACCAGAAACGAAGCCCGTCGTGCCCCCCGGAAATGAACGTTTTTCCGACCGCATTTTTCTCCACGTTCGCAGAGAGCCAGCAACAACTGTCGACGCCGGGATATGGGAAGGGATGAAAGTAGTGCGGCTTGCATTTGCTGTACTGTCTTCCTCCAGCTCAAGCATGCATCACAAAGTCGCTCTTCTCTACGGCATGCACCACAACAGGGATAGGCGATAAAATATCTTATTGCCAATGCACAGACACAACAGCTACGGCAGCGGAATCTCTCCCTCCCATACTTTCAGATGCCCTTTCAACTTCAGAACGGGGTCCTGCGTGTCAGGTATTCGGTACCGGTCGGCAAACTTGGCATCGCGTTTGTGATTGGAAAAATTTGCAACTTTTTACTCTTGGAACCAACAAGTCAATTTGCGTTATTGCACTTTTCGCTACAAGTCAAAAGTACGCTTAAAAACAAGTTGTGCGAATGTGCAAGGCAAAACGTTGGCTTCCAAAAATTGCACAGAGGTTTTGTTGCTCCCTTGTCATACTGCTCGCACTCGTACTTGTAATCCACGGTGTCCAGGCAGGCTAAAAATTCATCGAAGTCCGGAAACCTGTGATTCGTATTCGTGCATCTGACACAAGAAACAGCGGCTGTCAACATGCGTACCTGTAAAAATCACCTCCTCAAGAACAACCGAGGCAAACAGCAACAATCTTTTCTATACCTGGCTCGGTAGTACTCGTGGCAGCGGGGGTCTTGCGGGTCTTTGAAGAGGCGCAAGTCGCGTTTGCTCTTCGCCGACATGTGTCTATTCAATGACTTCTCCATCAGCGCAAAGGGGTCCGAGTCCCTATCAAAAGGAAAAATCCCCCCTCCCCATATCAAAACGATACTTCTGATGCTGGATTTGGATACACAAGCCAAATTTGTCTTGCAGCACAGGACTGCAGGCATATGCCGAGCCTGAGGCAAGAGGTTTTGACGTAGGTGCCTAGTATGACAAACGTCTATGCTCTAGGCCCAACAGCATCACAAACCGCCTACATAGTGCGGCGGACGCTCTAGAGTTGCCTTCTTGCAAGACAAAGAGGATTTGTGGTCACAAATCCGCATCACAAATTTTCAGGCGCATGATTTTCCAATATGGGGAGGGGGATTTTTCCTTACGATAGTCTCCGAACAGCGACCGGGTGGTGCTCAGCGAGGGCGAAAGGCCTCCCTGGCCGCCCCGCGTCCCCGCGATTGGGGACTTGTCGAGCGGGAGCTTCTGCAGGGTCGGCTGCATAGTGCTACTCGTCGGTTTTGCACTCGTGGAGCTTTGGGACGGTACGGAGAAGCTAAAGCGCGGAGTGATGTTGATGTCAGAAGCCAGACATCAAATGGGAAAAACACAAGCAGCGGTCTTGTTTGTGATCATGCTTCACATTATTTTCTGTCTTTACCCAGCAGCAGCACGGACGCGTGTTCATTCGCATTACCAGACGTCTCTGAAAGACCGTCCTCTGCCCTGCATGCATACAGCATCACAAACAACAATCTGCGGCTGCTCGTCACTCCCTGGATACCGACGACGGAGTCAGTCTTTCGGGCATGATAGGTTGAAAGTAGATATCACTCTACAGGAGATGAACTTTTGGAAAAACGAAGCTGTGTCGTGTCTTCCCGGTCAAAAAGCATGGCGAAGCCAAGATCAAAGTCGTTGGGGTTCTGAATGAGTAATGCTGCACGGCAAATGATAAAATTCCAGTAAACAGAAAGGACGCGGCCTGCTCGTTCTAGATAAGACAGTTTGATCCTCTTTCTCTCACACACTCGGGCGAAAAAAGAACGTCAGAATTGCAAAATCACTCTGGCGCCGTGCCCTTGTTGCGCAAGGGCAAGATGCTCCGAAAACAAAAAATAGCAACAGCACTCCCAAGTTTTGCTTTGTTTCTTCTCTGCTACAGAACAACCGTCGCGGACTCCCACCCGGAAAAACTGCTTGTGCGTGAATCACAGGACGCATTAGCTTCTAATTGCATTTTTCACCAACGGAAAAAGAAAAACATATCCTGCGGTCACATTATCCTCTTGTCACTCTGCAAAACGACCTAGTTGTATCATGGCGCGTATAGCGCGTCAGACTATGAATGCGCACAAACTTTTCTCAACCATCGCAGAAGTTCGGAATACTATGATACTTGCACTTAGATGAGTGTAGCCACAACTATGATCATGTACACTACTATTACTCACTTAGTTTCCACGAAAAAACGGACCATCACAGTCATCCTACAGAAAATGCTTACTCGTGAACTATTTCCAGTGACGAGCAGAATGTGGTGCTAGTGCTACATCATCTTCTTCGTAGTAACTATTCAGAAAACCACCTCTACTTCTAAAGTCTCTCTCCCCACCATCATCATCATCATCATCATCATCATCATCATCATCTTCCATTTCCGTGACACCTACATTTGCGTCGTTGTAGTAAAAGTTGCTAGTGCCTCCTGCGCCTGTTGTCTCGACGTACGCTGTTCCATCCTCGTAGGCAACTCCATCGTACTGCTCGTCAGCTGCTGTCGTTGCGTACTGGCCACCATACGCGGCCTGCGTCTCGTCATAAAACTCTTCATCTAAGCCGCCCTCTTCTATCACCACGTCCTCTCCGCCTACATAAACCGCCTCCCCCTCGGCTTGCTGGACTACTGCCACTGCACCACCAGCTCCGGTGCTACCCCCGAGCCCGACGTTGTGAAAATTACTATCGTATGCGCCCTGCTCCGTCTGCCGTTGCCGTTCGGCCTCCAGATTGCTTTGCCGCTTTTGCTCCTCCTCTACGCCGTACTGCTTTGCCATTTCAATCAAGTTCGCCAAGTGCTTCTGCGGACGCTTCATCGTTTTCCGCTCCCCGCCAATGTGCGAAAACCCGAGCAGGGACGTGAGGTGCACGTTGCTCATCATGTTTTCGAAGTCCTCGCTGACGTGCTTCCGGTTCAGCCGCATCCACAGGTCCTGCTCCAGTTTGGCCACGTCGCAGGACTCAAACGCAAAGTTCAAAATTTCCAGCTCCCGCAGGTACTCCGCCTGCCAGTAGCCGCGCACGTCGAAGTCGTCCAGATCGTCGCCCCAGGGGTCCTCCAGCGTCTGTGCGAGGTAAACCAGCCCGAGCCAGAACCAGTACATGACCACCAGGCCGAGCGCCTGGTAGGGAAAGTGTTTGTAGGGCGTGTCGATCCCGGTCTTGATCGTGTCGATCAGCGCGGCCTCGTAGGTGGACAGGAAGGTGACGATGAAGAGACTGAACACGAGGAAGTGCAAAAACTGGTAGGGCAGTACCGACAGCGCGAAGTTGCTCATCTTGATGGAGTCCGCCTGGATGCGGGCGAGCCGGCTGTTCAGTGCGGCGGCCTGGGGGGCCGAGATCCAGTTGTTCTTGCGCCCCAGCTCCACCAGCGCCGCCGCGCGGTAAGACAGGTTGTACACCCCGGATTCCGCGTAGGGGGTGTTTGTCATGGACCCCAGCTATGCATTGCAGATATGTCTGGGTCTGGAATAAACTTGTGATGCAAGGAAGGGAAGAGCGAGCACTCTGTAATGTGCTGCCCAGCACGACAAGTTTTTTCGTGGTTCTGAGTTGCGTACTCCGCATGAGAAACAGCGTTTTTGCATGACAGGCAAGAGAAGCTCTTCTCGGCCACGCAATACAGATTTCAGAGCCATACCAGACTAGCATGGCAATCAATATCGCAATCTCCCAGACCCAGAAGTATTTGCAGTTGATACCAGCCGGGCGGGCAGCATGACCAGGTTCTTCAGCTGCTCGTAGTCGTCGTGGTCGATGAAGACGTGGCGCGAGTGAATGAAGGGCAGCAGCGAGTCTTCGCGGACGGACTCCGCGCCGAAGTCCGCGAACGTGACCACGAAGGCGGCGGTCATGTAGCCGAACATCTTTCGGCACGCCTCGTACTGCTCCGTGGCGTCCTCCGTGCTGGTCCACGACGAGGAGAGCACGGCGCAGAAACTCGACGTGACCGCCGTACACTCGTTCCGCAGGTCGTTCAGCGACCAAAACATGTCGAAATAGCGGCCCACGGTGAAGTTCAGGTAAAAGATGGTGGCGAACCCGGCCACCACCTTGATGGAATCGGAAAAGGATTCGTACTCGTCCGGCAGGTCCACCAGCCCGTTGTGCAGACAGATGCGGCACACGACGTACATCACGACGTGCACGTAGAGCATCACGTCCTTTAAAATCCGCTGCGACACGGTGTCGAGGTACATGAAAATCTTCAGCCGCGAGTAGCGCTCCTCGCCCCGGAAGTTGCGGCGGTACTCGGCCCAGAGCCGCCCCCGCTCGGTCATGTCGTCGTGGCCCGGCTCCTTCTATGCATTGCAAACGTGTCTGGGTCTGGAAACTTATGATGCTAATACATGCGTCACAAACTGATTCCAATACGCGGCCGCGCATGACAAATTTCTGAGCGGCTGCGTCGTGCGTAACCCGCATGAGAGGTCGCGTTTTTGCATGACAGAGGGTCAGTGCGATTCCACAACATGCATTACAGAGCTCAGGGGCATGCGAGTTCAGCAATACAAATCTCGCAATCTTCCCGACCCAGACATATTTGCAATGGATACCTTCTCGTCGTCCGAGCCCGCGGCGGCGGCGTGGGGATCCTCGTCCCGCCGCACCACGTCGGCCATGGCCTGCCGCAACCGCTGGTGCCGCAGAAACTGCACGCGCGCCATGGCGCGCTGCTTCTTCTTGTTCTCCGCCACGACCTCCTTCCGCAGCTCGGTCCGCACCACGGTGTCCTTTGCGGCCTGCCACAGCTTGCCGGGCGACCGCACCACGCGCGCCACCAGCCCCTGCTCCTTCCGCCGGTTCAACCGCTTCAGTTCCGCCAGGGGCAGGTTGATGGCTTCGTCCTGGGCGGAGGGTGCCCCGCCCCTGCCCTTCTTGGGACTCGCCGATGATGAAGACCCTGCCGCGGAGGTGGGTCCACCCCCCCGGGGCGGCCGTGGGATGCGCTGCACATTCGTCGGTACGGTCGTTGTCGTGTTCGGGGTCGCTACAGCTCCAGGAGCATTAGCTGCGGGAGCTTGGTCTTGTTCAACGGCTACTTCTCCACTGTTCATCTGTAGTTGGCCGCCGTTTTCTCGTCCAATTGCGGCTCCGTCGCTGCCGGCTGTGGGATTTGTCGTCGGGAGTAGATTGGAATTTTGCGCCGCCTCAATCTCCACTGCCGGCACCGCCGCTGTATTCGAAACTACGACATCCGCTGTGGCTGGAGCCGCCCCAGCGACAGCAGCCATCTTGTGTGAATTCTGCGACTACTAAGATGAAAGTTGATTACGAAAGTGAAGAAAGTATGAAGGGTGTTGCAATGCTATTGCTGACTGTTCCTTATCCTGTTAGTGCTACAACAAGGTAAGTACATAGGTATTTTAAAAATCTTTCAAAATTAATTTTGTTGTTACGTCGTCCACGGGACCCGTTTCAAATTCGTCACAACTGTGCGCTGCTTTCATGATGAGTTCGGGTGGTCAGGGTGGTCAAACAAGAATTTATTCGTACTATCACACAGCGTAGTCGAAGAACGAACAAGACTGCGACGATTTGGACGATCGGGGGACAAGGAGCTACTCCTACGTGTGGAGAACGAAAGACGAAACATAACGTCTGGGTCTGCATCTCAGATAACCTGTAGTTGAAACGAACAAAAAAAGCGCATTTACTTATATTCTTGTCAAACACGACGTCGGCACGAACGGACTGCCACGACAAAGCACGATGACGAGTCCATTGAGAACGTTAAACTTTGAACTTTTCGGAGGCTCACCAAAACGGACATTTGTGTCCGTGCTCGGAAAGGACGGATCATTAGTATGCTTTCTTTCAGGCGAACAAAAACGATCTTTTTCTCCGCAAGCAGAGTTATTTGAGACATCTACTCAGCCGTGAAGGCAACTTGTTTCGACCAGGACAATTTCATACCTCTCTCGCCCTTCTCATGCCTGCTGGCGCCGGCCGCGCAGTCGCTACTGTACAAGTTTTTATCCGATTCAATCGTAGTACGTCAAATTTTACACATTTTTCCCGATGAAGTAATCCAATACGAAATGCGAACTGGAATTGTTCAGGAGGAACTTCTTACACAACTTCATCCCAAAGGTGAGTGTTCGTGTTGTTCCTGTCGTCAATCCTACAGCAAAAAGTTCTGCAATCGTTTTAGTACAGTTAGTTTTTTCATTGAGAAATATTTTCACCACAGAAGAACAAATTGTCCGACACTTTTTCCTCTTTTTACAAGCGTCGTAAATCGTAATCATCTGCTCGCTTCGACGTTTTCCCAAACTCGATGTCGTACTCCAACAGAACCCGCCCTACGCAAGCTTGTTCATCAGGAGGGCACGTATGCTGTGATAAACCCCTGAGGCATCATCATCAAATTACCTCGTTTCTGCACATCATGCGCATCCTTGTCAACATCACTGTCCCAGCTGCTGAAGTTTCGCTGAGCAAAACAGAATCAGAAACGCTCCTCATTTTGCACAAATATAAACGGGCAGAGCGCCTAATTTGATTTTCCGATGACAAGGGTTAATAGAATCTTCCGGCGTACGCTGACTGGCCGAATGCTTGAGTACTGGCGGCCCGCGGTCCAGAAACTGGGCTCTTCCCACCGCCGAGTAGGTTCTCGTCAGCCGTGCGAGGAAATCAGACGGAAAAATCAAGACACTGAACACCAGCAAGCCAAAATACCCCATGCAAAGTTCTGATGCTACGTGCAACGCAAATGGATGCAGTTACGAGAAGTGAAGAAATAAACAATCTTCATTTCGTTGTCTGTCGCAACGAATGCGGCATGCTGCTTCAAAAAGCAGATTCTTTTCGACGCAGACCCGCTGAGATTATTGGCTGCATCCAGTTATTGGTTTTTAGAGCAACTGCAACTCTGTCACCGTTAAGCAACTACTCCGGTAAGAAAAGTGCTTTTTGGTACTTATGGTGTCCTGGCTGCAATTTTCCATCTGATAGACTGGCTCCGAGTCACGCAGTCCGGCGGCGCGCAGCGGATAATCGTAGGGTCGCTGGGGAAACCGAATTTTGTTTCTCGGTAGTATGAAGTCGTAGTAATGGGTTCGATGCATTTTTGCGTGTTCATCTTCATCCGTAAGTAATCTACTTGACATACACGTGAACTTGCTCATGCACGCCGGATCTCCGGTGTTACAGAAATAGGTGCATGCACCAGGAATTTTTTTGCCTGGACCCAGAACCAGCTGCCCGAGTTACGATTGACAAATAAAACTCTTGCTAGCGAAAAAATTGTGGGTCAGGAACGGAGTGTGGCCAAAAAAGTAGTTTCTCTTTGATTTCGTTTTCCTGCATCGAACTGAAAAAACTCCATGCATTCCGCGGATACTCTCGACGTCGTAGGGATCTTGAAACCCGTTTTTGTTGAACCTGTGGTCAAAATGCTGATGACATGATGGTGCTGACATGATGGTGTATGAAATTTACCAGTGTTCACCCGCATGATAAGTCGCATGATTTGGATTATTTTTTCGTACGGTAGTCATAAAAGAAAAATTGCGAAAAATTCATACCAGCTCCAATTCCCGTCCTTCCTCCACATTCCGATTTGGTCCCGGCTCGTTACTGCCAACTTCTCGGCTTTGATGAGCGCCTCCCCGCGCACGAGGTCCCACCCGACAGGGTCGAAAGCCCGACCCTGTTTCAGCTGAAACGTCATTTTGGTGTAGTTTTATGTCGAGATGAGTTCTTCTTCTTACGTTTCCTGCGTTGCTATACGACTTCAACGTTCTTGCCCTGTCGCCAAGAATCAAACAGTGCCTTTCCGTCTACGCTTGTTGTAGCAGGTGAGTTTTACCAGTAGGAAAAAGTAGGTTTCGCAGTAAAGCTCTCTATTCCGCCCAAATTCCTATGCGATACACGATTTTTGCCTACGACAAGAAGGATCCGAAATGAATGCCGAGGCGTCAAAACAACAGCATCCTCACACAAATGAACGAATAGTATCGACCAGGAATCGATAATGTCGAAGATTCACGTCAAGATGGCAATACGCGTGGCAGGGCCTGTGCCAGTTTCTACGTAATTCGACGGAGGTGTCGTGCACTTTACAGATGCTACATTGTACTCCTACCACAGACAATTTCTACAGTACCGACCTCTACGCTAATTCGCTCTGGCAGCTCGCTTGGAAAACAGCGCTCACCATTCGTCTGCACACCGATCTTCATCGGTATAATTCATATGCCATACGTCCGCGATCCAGAAAGCGAAAACGACTTACTTGTGGAACAGCAAAATTCCGGTATCGACTTTATTCCCAAAGACAAACTGCGACATGATTTGTTTCTCTTCGGGCACTATGCACTGCTCTGAGTTCTCCTCATGTACTCCTTTCTTCGACGTCGCAGTACTATGTAGCTTGTGTAGCTCCAGAGATCGATGTCGGCAGCGAAGATGAAGAAAAAAAATGGCCATACATCGCAACTCGCTCCGTCCTCCCTTCTCCACGTGATGTTGACGTCGCCGAGACCACTCTTAAAGCTTGTCAACTCGGCTTTGTCGACCGTCGACTGCAACAAACTAGGGACCACTACTTACTTTTTCCCTTTCCTAGTAACCGCGTGCTTCAATGTTTCGCGCAAAAACGCCGCCTCCGTGCCCGTGCGCTCCGCTTGTTTCCAGTCCGCAAAGTGGATTTCCGCTACAGTCCACCCCAAGCTTTCCAGGCATCTGGTGCGGAACGCGCTCGACCCGGTAGTCACCGCGTGCCGCCGGGAAACTAACGAAGAAGATCGCGGCAAGTGGCGCAGCTCGTGTTTCTCTTCCCGGTGCTGGTCTTGTTGTTTTCTCCTTGCGCCATCCGCTTGCCCGTCGTCCTCTAGGCCGCAATTCGAAACGGTCCCGTCTTCCTCGACTGGAAACAAGTAGTGCCCAGGTCCGTTCACCTCAATCGCGATTTTTAGTTGCGGCAGCGCGAGGTCGATTTTGGTCCACGGGAGCCCCGGGACGGAAAACTCTGGCACGACGGAACAATACGTGGTGGAACGACGCTGGCTACAGCTTTGCGTGTCAACAATGGCAGGTTTGGCGTTTGTAGAGAAGCCAGAAATGCTGGACAGCACTCCGGCAGAACAGTTGGTGACAGTGGAACCGCTGGAGGAACTGGACACTACATCATGATCGTCGTTCTCACCACCCGAGAGCTCTTTCGCACGGTCGTCCTTCTTGCTGGAATCTGTCCCGACACCGCTGGAGAAGACTTGCCGTAACACTTGTTCCTGCAACACCTTGTGCACTTTCTGGTGTAGCAGCGACACTGTCGGCGCCACCGGGGGAGTGTACTGCACCTCCGTCAGAAGGGTGTCGATCGTGCGCAGTACGTTAGGTGTTTTGTGGTCGTGCTCCTGGTCTTTCGGGGCTACCTCGACAACAGAATTTTTCTCCCCCTCGCTGTCGCCCCTCATCGAAGGCAACGTGGTCAGTTCTGATCGCAACCACAGCAAACTAGCTTGGGGTATGATCGGGAAGAGACGGTTGCAAGAAGGGTCACTTGTTCCTTTTCGAAATAAAAATACCTAGTATCCGACGTGATTCATCCACTTGGTCATGCACATTTTCTTGCGAGAGATCACTAACTTGTGTGTAGTCGATTAACTCCTGCTCTCGATAATCGTCAACATGCTTAATTTCCCAGAACATCCAACTCACACGTGCTCTTTTCCGACATATGCAAGGCCCGCGCCTCCCAGGAATCCGGGGTGAGGATCCACGATCGCCCCCGCCGAAAAGTTGTTTTGTTCTGCATCACCTCAACACCTAGGCGCTGTACCAGCGCCGACGCAGACGCAACGTCCGCAAAAACCGCCGACGCCCAGAGTAAGAGCACGATGGAAGAATTGTTCATTGAACAATTACTACCCAATGTGTCTGGGTTGTTCGAAATCATCCTGGCTATCGCGTCCCGGTCCTGTTTCAGCTTGCAGAAGTGCTGCAGCGCACGCAAAATGTAAAAGTCTTTTTTGTTTTCATCCCGCTGCTCTGATTGCATGCCTCGTGCTGAAGTCACGGAAAGTGTTCCTCCGCTGTGCTGGTAGGTAGTTTGTGGAGAACGCAATTGCCACTGTTTCTGTTTGTGATCAGCCACAGGCTCATCTTCGCAGCCCCAAAAGGTAGAAGGCTTCCAATTCAGAGACGCGCAGCTGTGCAGCAGCGTCGCGGCTTCAGCAAACGTCAAACTCTGGGCGGGAAGGAAAGACCGTAGGAAATTGATGTTGGTTCGTACTCTGGCGGACTGTGACAGGGAAAAATTTGGTCGTGACAAAAAAAGAGTCAGAGGCGTTAACGAGTTCTTGGTCTGACATGCAAAAATCTACTTATATATAAACGAAAATGAAAACCTAGAAAAACATTCAGATTGATTTATTCTTTTTGTCCGCGGCACTTTTTCCCTTCATAACGGCAGCAGAAGTTTCATCTTCGCAGCGGCCCAAATGCACTGCACCGCGTCCAAGGGTTTGCAAACCGGAGTCGTTGGGCGCCATTGCGGCGCCGGCTGCTTGTCATCGCCCTTTTCGTAGTTCCCACCCCTGCTTGTACTTATCGCCGGAGATGTTTCTTTCTCGACCGGAAAAAACACCCGGTTTCCGAATTTTTCGAATACTGGGCGCAAGAACGGCATCTCTAGAACGTCGGCTTCGTGGTGACCCGCGAAGGTGCCAAATGCCCACAGCAGCGTGGCGGCGGACTGGGCCTGCTCGGACGATGCGCCGCAAATAAAGTTGCGGTGAGCTACGGTAAAATTCTTGCTCGGTGGGACAGAAGACGGTCTTTTTTCTTGGCCTGCTGTAATGACGTCACCACCTCTCCTACTGCTGTGTAGTGTACTATCCTTCCTATGATCCGAGTTGCGCCCTGGTGCCCGCTGCTCCCGTCCTTGGCGCTCTCCCGTCGTATCACACGAGAAAGAAGACGAGACAACCGTTTTTGCAAACTGGGCCCACCACGCAACGTCGTGCAACTTGAACTTAGCCGCGCTCCACGCCACCATGGCGTAACCTTGCAGCGTGAAAGCGTCAGTGCTGCGAACAGGAAAATATCCACCATCCGTCGTCGAGCCACGTGCCCTCTGTGCTAGTCCTTGATGTTGTCCCTGAACAGGAAACGTGCCGTGTGCTTCGCTCGTCGAAGACCCTTTCTTAACGACGCTCGCAAAAACCCTCTCCACCAAGTCCGCATACACCTGCCTCCCTTGCTCGGTGTGGTGGAGGTAGCTCTTGCTCAACCCAGTGGAGGCGCAGCCGCTGATGTACTGCCGACTTGTTTGCGTGGATGGTTGTTCCGCAGGAGAACTCCTTGCGGGAAGCTCTTGCTCTGTAACTTGTCCGTTTTCGTCCGCGTTATCGTTAATCACCGTCCGTGAAGTTGTGACGCCCCCGGCGGAGTAGAGCGGCATTGTGGACGAGGAAGTCATCATCAATCTCGCGTACGTGTAGAGCAGCATGGCCTGGCTCTGCGCTTCGAGGATGCTAGTCAGCGGAATGTCGTCGCGTCGCTGCGTCGTACAACTCCCTTCAGAACTTGTTGCTCTCCTACCTGTACTTCCTCCCATCCGGTCGTGTCTGATCATGAATTTTTCTGCTGCACTACTAGAGGTAAAGTGGCCTCCTGCCCTAAAACACATTTCCGTCAACACCGCGCCAAATTTCACCGCGGACTCACGCAGAACCGCCGGGTCCGCGCCGTTGTCCTGGAAGGCTGTGTGCGCGTGCACCGCGCAACACACGTCCCGCTGGAAGGACAGGGGCTGGAACGCGGGCGACGCCGCCGTGGTTCGCACGGTGTGCGACAGCGCGTCTTGCATGCGCTGCAGCCCGGTCGCGGTCGGAAACGCGCCCAACTTTGCGAGGCCGTGGCAGATGTGCGCGACGTCGAGGGACTTCAGGTGGCACAGCGTCTGCTCGCCGGGCGACGGGACCGAGCTGAGGCCGTCGAACTTCGCGGCGAGTAGGTGTCCCAGCTCACGCCAACCTTGTTCGTCAATGCGAAACAAGTTCTGGCCGGGCCGGTCGGACGAGACCAACTCGTCGTCCCGGTGGCACGCGAGAAGCGCCCGAATTTTGCCCAAATTGAACAGGATTTGCGCGAACTCCCGCATGCGCAGCACGCTCCCGCTGGAGCCCCGCAGCGCGGCGAACTCCACCAACACGGCCTTCCGGATGGAGTCCAAAAACTTCGCCTCTCTGCTGCCGCTGCAATTGTGGTCCGCGGCGGAGAAATAACTGTGTAGGACCGCCTGCGGCAGGCTTCCGACTGCATGCAAACAGGCCGCACAGTCTAAGGGGTCCGGATATGGAAACGAAAAGCGGCCCAATATTCAGCCAATCCTGACCGTTGGCGGGGCCGAAGCATTTTCGCGAAGCCGGTGCGACTGCACGCAGTACGCAGCCTAAGGACTTCAGCGACGCACAACTTGGGTGACGCACTATCTAACGATGCGAAGGCGCACTACCTAAGAAAGGAGCTGCAACGCACTACCTAAGGAAGCGGCGCACTACCTAACGAAGCGACGCACTACCTAAGGAGGCAACGAACTACTTAAGCACGCGGCGCACTACCTAAGCGGCGCACTACCTAAGTTAAGTAGTGCGTCACTTGATGGGTGTCGCACGATTTTTTTACGCGAAGCGCTATCATCTCAGCAAAGCACTACTCCCGAAGCAAAGCACTACTTAAGCGCAGCAGCCGCACCCCTGAAGCGAGGCGCCGCTTCACCTAGCGAGGCACCACTCAGCTGAAACACTTTTATGCAAAGCGCCTGAACAACAAGACACCTCCTAAAAGAAGTGCCTAACCGAAGCGCGTAAAAATGGGTTACTCTAGCGAACCACCCAAAGGAGGAGTATTTCCCACTTCAGCGAAGCACTTTGGCGAAAGAGGGTGCGTGGAAGAATGGTACGTAGGTAGTAAGGCCGGAGACAAACTTAATTTGGCACGCCCGCCGGTCGATTAGGGTAGGGCAGCTTTTCTTCAGTGCCATACATGCACCAGAATCTTTGACAGATCCAAGTCCGTTGCGAAAAGCAAATCACTCGTGTTCCGCAGCTGCAGTGTGGAACAGGAGTGCAACAGTGAAGCCTGCTCCCCTAGGGAAAACTTGTGCGGGAAGCTCTTCGTCGCGACCAGCTGTTGCAGGATGCCCTCGCCGCACGTTTGCGCGAGGGCCGGTGCGTAGGTGGTAGCAGCCCGGTTCTTCCGAAGGTCTGTCCCCGAACTAGCTTCGAAACCCTTCCAGTGCAGATCAGGTCGCGTTTCCTGCCTCGGCGGTGTCGACATCGGGAGAACATCGCCCAGCTGCGACAGGGCCCACAAAATCCGGCTCGCATCGTTCGCGTGCGTGATGCACACCGGCCAAGAATGATCCTGCGTGGGTTGTTCATCACGGTGGCCGAGCAACAAATTTCGGCACAAGAAGTCTAACACCGCAACCTTCGCAGGCCGCGCGCCCCCCGGGTCGTCCTTTCCTTTCTCCACTAGAGACGATGAAGCGTGTTCCGGTACAACACGCGCGTTTGCCCCTTTGGAGTCTCCCTTTTGGTTCCCCGCTCGCCTCGCACCGTCGCCACGCTTGTGCAGAACTGCAGCGCTCCAGAGCAGATCGGCCACGTCCTTGGCACTCAGGTCTCTGGCACTTCTGCGTCCGAGGTGGTCCGGATTGGAACTATCCAGCGCATGACTTAGATTCAGTGCCCGGTCGGCTGGCCGAATGTTGTCGTCACACAATACCGCACAACCTTCTAACTCTCGTCGTGTTATGGCTCCATGTCCAACTTCTCTCCCAGGTTCTAGTTGAACTGGCTCTATTAGCTGTTGCAGTATCGCTTCAAAAAAGACTGCGGTGTCGTCTTCCGAAGTAGAAGAATTACGTGCGCTGGAATTGGCTGTCGACGTTTTGTAGTACTTGCGCTGCTTCTCACAACACACGGCAAACTGCTTCAAATGTGCGATCGCCGCTTTCAAAACCGCAGAGCCGGGGCTTCCCTGGCTCGGTGCGCTTGAGGAACTCGAACTTGTTCCCCGACCTCCTAATTCCGTCGTCACGCGCGGGGACGTGGCGTTGACACTTTCCAGGTAGGCCAAAAATTTCTCCCGCAGAGCCGCCGGAGTTGCGGTACCGGGGACGCTGTCGAAGCGCAGGCCATCCCGGGAAATCCTTGCCTGCTTTGGTGGAGCGGTGGGCAGAGGCTTCTGCGTGTCCCGTGAAAACACGTCCCCATCCCCGGGTTGAGTTCATGTGAGTTCTGCCACACAAGTCGTGAAGTTCTGGTATACAAATTTTGGCGATCCCACGCACATGCGAAATCCAGTTCAAAGGAGAATGCAAACACTCACGACAGCTCTGGGGCGCGGATGTTTTTACGGCGGATACTGCGGTAGGCATCGCGGAATGGGTTTTGGAGCGGCATTCATATTGAAGAACTAGATCCGATCTTTCTGCAATGTGTCGCAAATCAATGACCTGCGAAGCTGATATTGTCATAAGCAGTACGTGCCAGCGCAAATCCAGTTTCTCAGACGGGTACTATACTCTTTTCAACAACAGTCTTGCGCTTGAAGTAAGCAACGCTTTCCAAACATTGAAAAGCAACGCACAGAACTTAGAAATGAATCCATTCCCAGGAACATGGAGAGCAAGGTCGATCCTCAGTTGGATCCTGAAAATACACAACAAGCACTGCAGATCTGACTTTACGGCACAATGACTTTCGGCCAGACACGATGGCGGCATCTCTCGTTTCCCGTAGAACCTAGGATCTTCGCTTCTCATCGATCAAAGCGCGGCACAAAAAACCAGAACAGTTTTTTCAGATAAAACAGACAAAAAGCACCTGTCTAGTGCCGTTTTTGCACAGACATGCTCTTCGTTTTTCCACTACGCAAGCTTGAGACACCGTAAACAGTTATGTTGCGCAATGTACATTCATAATACCAGCAGGTCCACACTAAGCGAAACAGTTATTTGCTTGAATTGTCGTTGTAATAAATTTAAAACAAAGTAGAAATTAGACATGTGTAACTTGATGCCATGTGAAACCAAATGCGAAGGAATGTGCGTAAGTATGATCAATAAAAAATATGCTCTCGAAAAATGTTACAAACCTCTATAATGAACAAAGCTCTTCAATATTTCAAACGTTTCGCTGTGCTACACGACCGCTACTGCTCGATGGGTCATTCGACAGCAAGAAGCCCTTGGATATCCAACGGAGATCGCGGGTGATCTTTTCTGGCGCTCGACGGACACTGGTAGAGCAGCGAACACGGTGTTCTTTCTCCCCTGCATCAGCAGTTGCTCTCGGCTGTTTCAAAAGCGAGGCACAGGGGCTTCGACTGGCGAGCCGCAAGATCATTGATTTCTATTCCCAACGGATAACGGCTGTCTTTAGTCCGGCGAAAAACCACTTCTATTGACAGAGTTTCCAGATTACCACTCCTTCTAGCTCTACTAGTCGCCCCTAGCGTCCAACCAAACGGAGCTAGCGCAGTGCTCCTGCTCTACGGTCAGATAGTGTTCTTGTGAGTGCTGGCGCGATCTTCCGGGTAGCTATTCGGTAGGTTGGTGGTGACAAAGGTAATTCGGCCTGTATCTAAAACTGTACAATCTGCGTTCTGGCGATGATCTGGAAAACTTTATCAACAGAAGCAAGTACATCGGTCAAAAGTTGTCATTTCTACATAGTAGTAAAACAAGTTCGCGAATGGTTGGCTAGCCCACAGCACGAACCGTTCTGATGGTTGCTAGTCCACCCTCAAGAGAATCCGACAAACGACCCGAGAACTCGCGAGACGCGCAACGCGAAAGTTCCCGAGTTATTCTCGTGATCTCGTGTTTTTACTCTAGCGCCCGCCCCGTGGGTACAGGGCGAGTTGAGGGAGATCAACATCACCGTAAGGGGAAGTATTTTTTGTGAAAACATGATCAAAACACCATGGACACGACCAGAGTACTAAACCAGTTCACGCTTGTTCCTTCTTCCCGGAGGGTGGAAACTACGCATAAGAATCCCGCCGATCAGTTCCGCTCCAGAGAGAAACAGAACCGGCAGGACGCGGCGACCAAACCTCCCCGGTACTTTGAAGGTGGAGTAACAAGCGTTCACTGATCATTCCCCTGTGTGCAGGGCGAGGACAGGAGACAACAAATAAATCCACCTAATCCTCTTGAAATAAAAAGAATATAACGAAAACACCCGCTTCGGAGAACAATCTTCAGATCTTTGGGAAAAAGCATCGTTGTCTCTAGTCTTGCTAACGCCGGGATAGAATCCATTCTGTTGCCGAAGAATTCTGTTGCGTCTGGTGAGAGAAAGGCGAAAATAACTAAAAATGGCGACTGTCGTTCCGTAGTATTTCTCAGTAATCGCGCACCGTATTTTTCAGCTGCTGTACGTACGTAGGAGGTCAGCAAGTCTTTTCTTTTCTATGTGCCTCGCTATGATTACATCTGCACAATACCACCGTCGAGGCATTTCTGGCAGGCGAAGGACGCCTTCCCAGAAAACCCTGCACGGGATTCATGTACTATCTGTATTCGACATCATCTCGCACGGGTTCGCAAAATTTCCGAACCACGTGCGGCGTATAGAGTTTCATTACACAGGAGAAACTGGTGTTTCACAGCAGGGCACCATGCGGGACGTGGAAAATTTAGAAGTAAAGGCCTTCTATCTCTACAGTATCGACAAATATGTTGAAAATTATTTCTGGGAGTATTTCTAAAGTTTTGACTGTCTGGTGGGGTGGCACGCTTCACGGCATTCCATTGGAGTTCTTTCTTTTTTTGTCCCAACATTATGGCAGGCAGGTTAAGGTATGTATATTCATCCCGCATGGTTGTAGCCCTACGATTCACTTCGGTTAACTTCTGGCTCGGCCTAATAGCCATCATATAATAACAAGCGACGCAACAGAAACTCCGGCTAGAGTGGGTCCTTATGTTTTTCCTGGTAAAACTTCTTATAGCCAACACCTCAAAAGGAAAACAAGATCGAGTCCTTCATCTCACAAAACGTCGCTATACGTATCTTATCGAGTAGTTACGCAGGGCTTTACTGTTGCGGTAAGTTCTTGTACAGTTCCGTAGAAAGATTTTTGGATACACGTCGTGAAGAGCAGCCGCTGCACAGCAGCAACGCCTTTTCCTTCTGTCGGCGGAACTTGGAAATGAAACAGCTTTATTCCTAGCGGTTCAATTTTTTTACAACATACAACGTCAAACAAGAAGTCGCGCAAGAACAATTTTTCGTGCTGACAATAATTCATTGAACGATCTGGAACGTCAAAACTAGCACGAATCGGGGAGTTAGTCGATCTTCAAGTGTTTTGTTTTTTCCCCCTTCAATATCAAATGTAAAAGTGTCTGGGTCTGGAAGAATCCGAACTTGTGATGCTGCATTGGGATTCCAGAAAAATCTGTATTGCATGAGTACCAAAGGGAATGCTATTTCTGCTACGCTGAGAAGGCATTTGTCACGCGGAATAGGCATCAAGAAGCCCTCAAAAAATCTGTATTGCTAGCGTATGCATCACAGACATCATGGCTCATGCAAAACGTGCATGACAAGTGTCAGAATCTTCCAGACCCAGACATTTTTACATTTGATATTCAAGATGAACTCAAATGTTAATCCCGACAAAAATAAATCCGCACCTTCTCATAAGAATCGCGGATCGACGTCGAGTTTGACCAAGAAGCCCCAGGCGTTGGAAACTTTCTTGCACAGCATCTGTTTCACCGGCGTCGCCGCGGCCGAAAGCGCAGTTGGGACGACCGCCGTCGCAGCCACGGGGCTGGTCGGGCAGGCCGCCACTGCGGCGTGGGTCGTGATCTGCGTCGGACCACTACTGCTACCCACGACCTGATCGCGATTTTGCGTCGCCACGTCTCGTCCCGAAGTAGACACCGGCGACACCGGCCGCAGAACCGGCGGAAAGGCCGGGACGAGGTGAGACGCGGACCCGACCTTGCTGCACGGCGAGAGGATGGAGGCGGGCGGTGCGACGGTCTTCGCGCTGGTGTTACTATTCAGCCCCAGCAAGACCGACGGTGTCGGGAAGCCGGTGCTAGTCGACGTGAAATCATTACCACTCGCTGCTGTTGTGCTGATTGCGGCCGGATCATGCACGCTCTCCTCGTTCGGGTGCAGTAGCCGTATCGCGTCGTTTGCCGACGAGGACAGGACGTCGGAGGTTGTCACCGTAACATCAGAAGTTGCAGGAGTGCTGTTGGGAGAAGAACCAATATTACCGGAAGCTTCCGCCGGTGTGCCAATGTGCACGAACTTGTTGTTTTCTAGTTCCTCGGCGAGAATTGATTGAAAGTCCATCCCCGCATGGTGCTGCTCCACCTCGATCATCTCCTGCAACAGCGCCAGCTTGTGCTCCTCCTGCGGCGTTCGCGAAGCGTTCGATGCTTTTCTCGAGTCTTTCGACAGGGGCGAATTACTGTAGCTTTTCAATTTCATGTTCTCGCTCGTACAGCTGGTGGCTGTACAAGTAGCATTACTCGCACCCTGCTCCGTCCGTTCCTCAATGTCGGCTGATGCAACGGGAAAGGTGACGAAGTTCTGGAAAAAACTCGCCACGCTCCCGGCCGCGGGCTGCAGGTAGTTCTGCAGGACCTGCTTGGCTGCCTGCGCCGTACTAGTGGAGGGTGCTGCAACCGCACCGCTTTGCTGCGAGACCGGGCTGGGCGCCGGAGCTCCTGTGCCGCGGCTCTTAGTGTTATTCATGTTCTTTTCGTCCTGCGCCGCATAGGAGTTTGTTCCCGAGGATGAAGACGTTTCCGCGGCATTTTCATGCTGTTTCTGGAGCTCCGAGGATGTCGTTGGTCCGCTCGTGTGCTGCTCCAAATGCATTTCGTGGTCCAGTTGCGTCACGCGCTCCATGAGAAACGCGACTTCCTTTTCCAGGCTGTGGATGTGCTGGTCCTGTTCCTTCAGGTGCTGCTCCTGGTGCTGGATCTGGCAGTAGGCGTCCCGCAACTCGTGCACCACCTGATGGGGCTCCACGATGCCGCCCAGCGAGAAGACGCGCTTCACCACCGGTTGGTCCAAGTCGCTGTCGAGGACATGGCCTGCGCCCACCGTGGGACCTACCACTTCGTGCGGCAGGTCCGCGCCCTGGAGGTGTTGGCTTTTGCTATCGTGCTGGTCGACCAGCGACACGTCCGAGGATTTGTGATGCAGCGACGGCATATTGCCGGAGACAGAGGCGCGGTAAAATTTCAGGAGGTCTGTACTGATTCTTCACTTGTGCTGCTAGACGTTCGTACGAGTTGTTTTTCTTCGTATTTTTAGACGTCGTTCTTGGGATTTTGATCGTCAATCGATTGTCTTGTCGGTCGCTTAATATGTGCCCCAGGGGTCGTCCGGGTAGAAGTAAGTTGTGTGTGTGTTTTGTTATCTCGCGGTTATGTTCTCCGTATGCGGTAACTTCGATTGAAGGTTGGGATTGCGCTACTTGGCCATGCGTTTCTTTGTTTGTGTAAGCATGATCAAGAATTTGTTCTTGACAAGCATCCCGATCTGAATTGACTAAATTGAAATCACGATGTAAATCACGATGCTACGATGATGATTCAAAATGAGGTCTCATGCAAATCACGATGTTCATGAGAAGGAACAAAAATGAAGCTCACTCTAATCCCGCACTAGTATACAGTGCGGGATTAGAGTGAACTTCATTTTTGTTCCTTCTCATGAACATCGCGATTTGCATGAGACCTCATTTTGAATCATCATCGTAGCATCGCGATTTACATCGTGATTTCAATTTAGTCAATTCAGATCGGGATGCTTGTCAAGAACAAATTCTTGATCATGCTTACAGTTTGCTCTTTTTCTTTCTTTTACTTTTGGGTTGTGCTGCGTGTACCACTGACTTTTTCTATCGCTCTCCGTGGAAGCTTTACGTTATATGTATCTACTGCGTTTTAATATTTTGGGTCGTAATCATCAAAAAGAGTGTGTCAGGTACTTATTTCCTCGTTGTGTAATTTCAGGACAGGGTATTAAATGTGTATCAGCGATTAACCTTTCTATGACGTGTGGTCACGTTACAGTCGAGTACTCAAGCGCTCTAGTAGCTGCGAGTCGTTTATTTCTCGCTGTTGGAATGTAGTTGTTAGAGTGTGTGTATCAAAATGGCTTCGTGTCGTGCAGAAAAATTTCACTCGCTACAGATTCTCCAGATCCATCGCCTTCAGACAGATAACAGCTAGGTAGAGGGTCGGTCCCCGTTACTCGCTATTAGATCAACGACGCCACGTAGGTAATGCAACAGGAGCTGTTGAGCTTGAGTGCCCCTGCTTGCGGAGAGGATCCAACTGTCTTTTCCCCAGACGCTGTCGGGACGGTGCAGACAGTACGAACTGATGGGAAATCTTTGATGCCTAAAGGTTCTCTTGCAACCAGGGGTAAAAGAATGCACAACGCCAAACCACTGCGGGCCAGCAATCGAAAGTGTTCTAGACAGATCCTCTACTGGTGATTCACACTACTGCAGCAATCTGTAAATTAGTTCCACACGACTAAATTGGCAACGCTAGATGTAGAAAGCAAGGCAGTACTTTCACTCCTCCACAAATTCGCCTCGTAACGTTTACCCTCAGTAGACAGAAGATACAAGTAGCCCCTTCCACACCTCAAGCCGGACGGGACCCAACAAGAGCCCCTCTGTCACGACTAAAGCAGAGAGATGAACAGAACGGTTAGATTACCTGCTTTCTTGTTACTCCGCACTCCGCACTTTTTTTCCCACAGACGACCAGTAAACGACATGAACACTGTTGCCGAAACCCGAAAGATTTGAAGACCGGAAAAGCACTCTTCGGTAAGAGATAAGCAAAGAACTGACTTGGTTCTTCTAGTACTGTAGCTAACTTCTTGCACGTCAGACATACATTCATTGTTCTGTTTGCGAAAAATTTTCAATCACCCTGTCGTCGTTCTATGCGGAGTTTAATGGGGATGATAGATCGAAGTTGTGCCACGAAAAGAGACACAAGGGAATGGAAATCTTTTATCAAAATCTATTCAGCTGCTGTTGATCCCTTCCGGGACAGACCTGTCGCAGATTCTCCGTCCCTCCTTCTACGGTAAAATGTTGAAGATCCACCGAGGGAAAGACAGCGGATGCGGGGGTATGAACCGCATGAATCTTCCATAGGCCGGGAGCTTGGACGCTCGAGCGCTGGAGGAGCTTTTTCTGCCTCCGTGAAAATTGGTTCCCCGGGCCGCCGCCGCGGGCCCCAACCTGCCGGTTGTACTATCGTCGCGGAATGCACTGCAAGTTTCGTGCTGCTTGTTTTCCGACGAGGAAGATGCAAAATGTAGTAGTCGCTCTAGTAACGTATTGGCACCCGAAGCTGCGTCGTCCCCGAGCAATCCGCAAACCAGCTCGTCGTCGGCGATGGTGTGGCCGTTGTAGAGCTCGTTGGAGTAATACAAATTTTCTTGCATCTTTCGCTCCTCTTCCGGGATTATGTCGTCTGCGAACAGGTAATCGTCTGCGAACCCTTTCAGATAGGAGTTTTCGTACCAGGCACAGACATTTTCCTCCGCAGAATCATAATACGCCAAGGCCGTTCCCAAGTACTTCCGTATCGTCGAGAAAAAAGCCTTAGCATAAAACTGTAAAAAACAGACGCTGCGAAAGCGAGGTGATGCGAAAAAAGGTTGAAATCAACGTCATCAAAGACATCAATCATGACGAAGGGAAAAAGATGTCATGCTGGTGCGAATGGAAGAACATGCTAAAATGTCACAACATACACAACTCCCCAGTTGCGCTTCTCTTTTTGCACGACGTCGGCGCATGCCAATTATACCCATCTGTGGTCAAAAGTATGCCAGGTTTTCTTTTCTCGTGGATAACGTCGTAGGGGAACAAAGAACTACTGTCTTCGCCGTTCTCCTTCCCCCAAATCAGTTCCTCCGCCGTTACCCCCCGTCCCCCGGTGAGCGTGTAGTGCAGTGTAGTGGTTTTTTCTGGTGATGATGATGCAGCGTTTCTGTTGTAGCTCCTGTAAAAGAACGACGTCGTTTTCACTAGCCTGTTGCGCACTTCAAACTTCTCCGCGAGGTAAACCAGCCCCGCTAAAAACACGACGAACTTCAACAGCCAGAACACCCGGAGGCACCAGCGTCTGAAGAAGGTGGTTTCCGGCAGAAACACAGAGCTGTCCCGGTACAGGTAGTCGAAGTCGGAGTTCAAACTACTGGCCCGATTGTCAAAAAAATCGGAGTTGATGTTGCGCAAGCCCGAGGCCGTGGTCCGCAGCTCCGAGTCCCGGGTGCTCCCCTGGTCTCGCCCGAAGGGATTGGCTCGTAGTTCCGGGGGCCGCGCGACCGAGCGCCGCACGAAGTCCGCCCCACCGTCGGCCACGCGCACGGCGCCCACGCAGTTGCCCTGCGGGTCCACGTCGGGCTTTTGCAGCTGCGAGGTGCTGTAGCGGCTGAGGCGGTCGGAGTACCGGGTTTCCTGGTCGCGCGGGGCGTAGTTGTCCGAACGAAAAAAGGACTCGCGCATCGTGGTGTGATCGCTCGAGCGCTTGTTGCGCACTTCGTCCGCTCCTGGAACAACCCTCTCGCCTCGCAAAATGCGGAACGAGCTCATCCCGGTGGCGGCCGGGGCGGCCAGCTGTTGCTGCTCCGGCACGAGGAGGCTGCTGCGGGAGGAGGTTGTCGCAGAGCTCCGCGACAAGTGGATAGTATTCTCAGTGCTACTACTTTTCCGCGCCGTTGTAGGCGTCGTGTGGTCGGGGTCCTGTAGTTGTTCGACGCCACGGTCTTGCAGCGGCGACGAGGACGACCTCGAGCTAGCGTTGCTACTGACCGCGCGGTCACTTGCGATGAGCAGGCCGGAACTAGATAATGATCCACCAGAAGGAGTGCCGGGACCGTACGAGCGCAGTACGTCCAGCATCCCGCGGACCGGTGCGGCCAGGGTGCTTTTCACTCGCTCGAAATAATACCACTCTGTTGGCCGCAGCAGCTCCGAGGAATTCATTCCGCTTGCGGTACTCTTTCGTTGAAGATTTATTTCATGCGCACCACGACTGCTGCGCCGACCAGGCGGCGGCGTCAAAATTTCTGCCTCGCTTGTGCTGACCGCCTCCTCCATCAGGTTTTGCCCAGACAGGGGATACGAGACCGCACCAGTTGCGCCCGGATATACTCCTACTCCAGGGGTAGTGGTCTCCGCGTTAATATTCACTGCGCTGGTGCGGTGAATTTCGGTGGTGCGAGCCTGCGAATTTTCCATATTTTCGCAGTATTCCGCAAGCCGGAGCAACCGATCCGCGAAGACCGCCAGCATCTTCGCGTCTCTGCTTCTTGCCGGCTCCGAGCTCGTCATCTTCCGCCCTTGCGGGGATTTATTTTCTGTGTAAAAATTCCCAGAATAATTGTTCCGGAGTTCCTTTTCGAGCCGGGCCAGCTCGTCCCGCAGCTCCAATGCCTGCGCGTTGGAGAACGTTTCCAGCAAGTCGCTGTGCTCCAGCACCCTGGTTGCGTCGTGTAGAGACTGTTCGGGAAATAAGTTTTTTCCGCCCGGGATGGGCCGAAAGGTGGAGGATTTCCTTTGCTCTTGCGCTGCTATCGCGTGCGGATCCTCTCCTTCGCCCTGCTCCCGGCCGAGTTCCGCCTGCTGCGCGCGGTACCGGCGCTTCTCCTCGACCAGGTCCCGTGCGAGCTGCAGCTTTTCCTGCAGCGCCAGCGTGTGGACGTCCAGGGCCGACATTAATCGCTCGTGGGTCCGCTGCACGGCCTCCCGTTCGGTCTCGATCAGGTTTTCCAGATTCTCGGCTTCTGCCGCCAAAAGCTGCATCGCGCGCTGCTTGTTCACATTCGCACGAGTCGGACCGTCCTCAGAATTAATATCTCTACTGCGGTCGTCCCGCGCGTCAGGAGGACCTCCTGGCGGGTGCTGCGACGCGGCGTCTTGCTGCAGCTGCTCCGCCTGTCGCAGGACGTGCACCGTTCGCCGCTTCGCTGCAGCCGCCTGGTTTCCGCTCGCGGTGGTGAAGTGCACCGTGGCGGTATCGAGGTGAAAAACATCGACGCGAGTTCGAGATCTTCCCCGACCCGATCGTTTCACACAAAGAACAAACTCGAAATGAAAAATAGGTATCAAATTTGTCACACAGCACGCAAAGACTAAGCTTGAGTAATGGTTGATAAATAAGTCGCATTCATCATGATCGCAAAAACAGCTACCCAAGTGGAGAGGATCATCCACTGCACGGTGTCGCTGATCTTGTCCCTTGGTGATCAACGAAGCATGCAAATCATGCAGCCCTACTAGTCTAGGGCCCTTAAGTACTTCTCGTGCACTCCGGGGGCCGCGAAACAATAAATCCGGGAAGATTTGACGAAGTCGCAGGTTTTTTTTTCGGTGCATAGCCACTGTTTCCACTAGCCGTTAACGGGAGCTCCACGTCGATATCGAACTCGAAGGTGAAGTCCTGCAAATGCGAGGACCCGGCCGCTGCAATCTTGTTGACGCCGACGCTGCTGCTGCCCTGCTGCGCAGTGAAGATAGTCGTTTGTTCCGCGAGCTTCTGGCGCAGCAGGTTCTGGCAAAACTCCAGGTCTTTGGTTTTTTCCAGGTCCGTCAGCACGGATTTCTTCCGCAGGTTGCGGCTCTCCTGCTCGTGCACGGCCCACAGTTCGTTGATCTGCGCCTGCAGGTCCTCCGCCACCTGCTGCAGCTGCGGCTCCAGCTGCTCCACGCTCTCGCGCCGTTGCTGCTGCAAAAACGCGTCCACCTTTAGCACCGCGCCTTTTACGTTCTGCCGAAGCTGCGGCCGGTCCGCGGGGGTCCCCGCGTCGCGCCGCCCAAACATCGCCCCTTGCTTTCTACGCGAGCAGTTAGGTAAAGAAACCAGCGCCAGATCTCGCGTTCTTCAAAAGCGGCAGGATTGCGTTATTTTCTAGACGGCGCGGAAGTGCAGCTGCGTCTGCTGAAATTCCCGAACCACTTATAACCGGACGCGGAAATAAGCTTGATTACCTCTTATTTGCGGAAGGCGCACGACTATTGTGGTCCACCACGCCGCCGGGTTTTAGTAGATCAGCCGGAAACACAAAGTTTCTACTTCACCGAAGCAAGAAACTCACGTACAGAGGCTGAGCTCTTGACAACTCCTACAAAAACACCACCTGCCGACGCTGCCACACAACACTAAGAAAGTAACTAAAGTATGCGGGGGTGCCGCAATTCACTCTGGCGTCAAATCAATTTCTTCATTTGCAAACCATATGAACCTTGAGTGAAAAAGGGAGGGAGAAAAGCCTGAGTCGGTTTTTTTATTGTGTTAACGACGTTCGCGGGCGTTCGAGCCCCTCGCTTTAGGTAGCCAGCTTCGCGATGGCGATAGAAAAAAAGGATAATTACTCACCAAGTCCAGAACGAGAGAGTGGAAATAGAGTTGCACGAGATGCCTGTATCCTATCGCGAACGAGAAGTTCGACCGACATAATTGTAGTTGACGAAAACGCACTTTTGCACGATGACCGAAAGGGTTTCGCTTTCGAGGACGCGGACCGATCGCAGAATGCTGCTTCATGTCAAAAATCACCGACGCATCACTGATATGGTGATAGCAAATTAATTATGCTCCGATTGTAGTGGTCGCAGATTGCATGCCCGGCGCAGCGGACCGCACCAGTTGACGTTGCCCCATAGTTTTTTCGGTGCCTGATGGGTGGGTGGGGGGGGGAGAGTGAATAACCAAAAGCACTGCGGTGCGTAATTCGGTAGAAGAGTGCCGGCGCAAGGACGCGCACAGGTAAATACTGACTGTCAGAATGGCGGCAGCCAATACCGGGACCGCAACCGTCGGACCGTGCTTCCGCTCCGCACCCCGCGTAGTGGAACGGGGGGGGGGCAATGGTTTTCCGCCGGCCGGGGCGCGGCTCTGCGTCCAGGATCCTTGCCCGCAAGCCCAGGAAGGCATCATTGGGCCACGCTTCTCCCGGGCAGAATCCGCAGCCCCCGGGCCGGCCGACCGCCCTTCCCCATGGTGCGCCGGGCCGCGCATTCGAGGTTTTTCAAAGGACCTCCGCAGGTTCGATCGTTCTAAAAGAGATGCTGGAGGAGCGCATGGCCCTAGCTAGGGCGGTTGCGGTCAGCGTTTTGCATTGGGTTTCTAGGGTTGTTTTTAAGTTGTCCAATGAAATAAAGAAAATAACAGTGTGCACTTAGTCTCCTGGACCAAGTGCGCAGCCCTCCTGGAATGGCGCAGCCCTCCGGAGAGGACACATCCCTCCTTCCCCTCCTGGCGGGGGGGGGGGGGGGGGGGGGGGGGGGGGGGGGGGGGGGGGGGGCGTGCACAAGCTGTGCCACACTATGGGGAAGCTTCACACTTTTTTAGAATTGAAAAGATGGAGCTCATGCAAAGCCCAGGGGATTGCGTTCATGCAAATCCGCACACCTTATCTATATGCATGGCAGTCTGCACACTTATTTCACCTGAAATTATGGGTCTCCCTCAAAGTCGGTAAATTTTCCAAATTTTTTGAACTTCGAAAAATACCGAGAAAAGTATCACTCGCAGAGATGTTTCCTTACCAGTCAAAGCAAATCCGAAAAAATTGCCAACTGGACGCATCCAGCAATACTCTGGACAACATTGTGGACCATGTACATAATATGTGGCATTTTTTAAAATTTTTACAATTTTAGAAAACAATGGAACTTTTTAAAAAGTGCATGAATCTAGTAGGTTCGATAAAGAAAGACATCGAAATGATCTGAATATCGATTCAGTGACTCACTACATTTGTGGAATTTTTAAGGTTTTTCAGCGTCAGCAATTTTTTAAAATTTTGGCATTTTTAAGATTTTGCAAGAATCTCTCACCGGATTAAAGTTTTCCACTATATGAATTAAGCAGTTTTTTTTTGTGATTATATTTTTTGCATTTTTAAGTGGTATTAGTCGCATTCTGATGCATTTTCATCATGTCTGCAATTTTCCAGAATTTCCGAAAGTTTGGAAATTGCAACAACTATGAGTGTATGAATGTAATTCAATCTTCCTACTTGCGTAATATTTGAAATTTGCTGAGATTTGGTCCTTTTTTGCGTGGTGCGCGTGGCGTTTTTGACAGGGTGAAACGGGTAACAGAAACGGATAACCTGGACGGTTTTTTTTTTTTGAAAAAAGTGCGCGCCAGAAAACCGGTCTTCTGCCGCAGAAGACCTCGCAAAATTGCAGCTCAAGCGCAACGGTTGCGCTTGGGCTGCAATTTTGCGCTCTTGGTGGCCTGCTTCCTTCGCAGCACAAATCTTCGCCGCGCAGCGCAGATTTGTGGCGCGCGCGCCACAAATCCGGGCGGCACGGAGTAAGTGCGGCCAGAAGTGCGCTGGCGACCAGCTGAGGACGCCCTCTCAGTGAGATTCTAGCTGGGGGCGCGATGGTGTCGCAAGGTAAAAACGCGCTGGCTAGTATTGAAATAGCTTAAACCTATACTACTGGTCTGAGTTCTTTCAATACTTGCGCGGGTTCGGATTGTGTTGCAGGCGGTGCCATAACTTGGCACCGCCCGAAAATCAATCCGAATCCGCGTGGTGTACTGCATTCAGACTGAGCCCAGTACCACTCGGCGATAAAAAAAGAAGAAGTATATATACACACTTCATATTTTATTTAAAAACCCAGTGACACCCAGAAGCGAAAGACGAAGCTATGGTGGCGGTGCCACCCGGATGGCACCGGGTGGCACCGGATCCATGTCGCGCACTTGAAGCGCCCGAAACAGCACGGCACGGAGGTGATTTCTTCACCTCCGTGGCGCGCTCTGTTTTTTTGCGCTACGGCTTCCATTTTTTGCATCTTTGCGTGCCTGCGTCAGCAGACGCGATTTTTTCATCCCGGAGGCGCGCATAGCGCCCGGCTAGCGGGCTCTCGCTCTTCAACTTGTCAACGGCCACGGGATCCGCCAGATTTTCCTTCAGGCTGAAGGGCGAAAAGGAAAGAAAACCGGAAAGGGCCGGAAGGGTATTGGAATAACGGAACCCAATACCCGGAAAGCCCTTCCGCTTGGCTGCTTTTAAGGGAAAAGAGTCAGAATGAGGGAGGGAGGCAGGCCGCCATCCTTCGCAGCGGGCGGGCGACGCTGTTTGCGCCCTTTGGGGTTTGTGTGCTTTCCGCTTTTTAGCGCCCCGCTGTTTTGTAGTATTGGATTGCGGCATTTCAATACTTTTCGCGGCTGGACTTTTTTGGCCGCTTCTCTGCTGCAGAATCTTGAAGCGGCCCCGAGGTTTGCCAGACCCTTCGCCAGGCTCAAGAACGGAGCGCAAGGAGGAAAAAAGGGCAAAGCGCGAAAAAGTATTGAACTAGGCGAAGGGAATACTCGCGGCGCCTCCGCCCCCCTTGGCGAATGAATGGGAAAAGGGGCGCAGAACCACGGTGGGCGTGCGGCGTTGATGTGCCGCCCTCGCCGGCGCGCGACCTCAAGACGCTTCAGCGGGTTTACTCCCTGCCGGCGCCTGGCCTTCTAGGCGCCCGACGTGCGCGAGACACGGCCCGCGCCGATAAGCCTTGAGCCTGCGCTCCTTGTGGCCCTTAGTACTGCTCTGCGCTTTTTTAATACTTTGGCTTGCGTTCCTCTCGTTCTGCGTGCGCGCCTGCTTCGCCGCCTTGGTGCCAATCCCACGGGGCCCCTGTCCCAATGTGGCAGCGGGCGGGCGGGGGAACGCAGCGGGCCCCAGCCTCGGAGCACCCATTGCGGATCGCCTGCACCAATTGGGAAACCCTGAAGCCACTCGGAAAGGCGGTTTCACCGCAGCGGGGCCCCTGTCCCAATGAAGGCTCCCCCACGGCAGGGCACTCCTGGCGCGCCCGCTCGGGGAGGGGGGAAACATTGGAACAGGGGCCCCAAGGGAGTGACACCGGGCCACAAGATCCCCAAGTGCGGCGACGTAGCCAGACCTCGCCTCCTGGCGGGGCGGGGGGCGCAGCGCCTCCTTGCTTGGTGGCACCCATTGGGACAGGGGCCCCATCGCGTTGGCACCGCCAGCACTGCTTGGAAAGCCCAGAGGCCCGGCGTGCCCTTCCACATGTCAAGCGTGTT